GCAGTTACGTAAAAAGGTATCAACAGCTGTAGCATCTTAAGAGTGAAATTCTGCTCTTATCATTCAGCATTGTTGTAAGCTTTATGGTTGAGACATGCAGACTCCTTTATCCCAGCATCCACAGTCCCAGTTCTCCTTAGTGGTGAGTGATCGTTTTCAATTCTCTATCTGGCAGCACTAAAGAGGTTTTTAGTCTTGATGGGAAGTCAGAATAGATGCATGAGACGATAATGAACAGTATAAACTAAGTGTCAGATGAGTGGTATAGTAAATATTACTGGCATTCAGAGAAGGGTACTGTCATGTAGACGTGGAGTGATTGTGAAGGAGCTTGGAGTTCCTGAGGCTTGCGTTAAAGGAAGAGAAGGACTCAGAAAAGCAGAGAAGAAAGGATCTAGGCATTTCCAGCAGAGAAGGAGAGAACAAAGTCAGGGAAGTAGGAATCAGTCTTGCAAATGGGTAAAAGTGTACTGTTGCTTGTAGGCCTAGACAGAGTCTTCTGTTTGGCTGCTTACCAAGTAATGTGATAGAAGACAGAAGAAGCCCTGGAAAGATCTTTGAATGTTAGGCAAAGGAATTGGGACTTTTATCATTTGAGCAGAGATGAAATATGTGGAAAACTGTTTTAGACTTAATCTGGCAACAAATGACTGCAAAGCTAGGTCCTGAGACATGAGAAGAATACCTGGATTAGTGGTTCAATAAGGAATTCAGTTTAACAAATATTTATGGAGCTTCTCCTGTGTGGCAGTGGAAAGAGAACCCAATGAACAGGTGAGAGCACTTGACTAAGGAACCTAAAGACTTGTACAAGATCAGATGGGGGTTGGACAGGTGGGGGAGGGGTGGGAAGGGAGACAGGAGGAGTAGGGGCCCTCCCTACTACCCTACTCCCACAGGTTTCAGAGGTTAGCAAACTGTGGCCCACAGGCCAGATCCATCTGGTTACTTGTTTTTGCACAGCCCTTAAGCCTAAGAATGGTTTTTACATTTTTAAATGATTTTTTTTAAATCAAAAGAGTATATCATGATATATGAAATTCAAATTTTAGTGTCCATAAATAACGTTTTTGAAACAGAGCCTTGCTGTTTCATTTATGTATTGTCTGTTGCTACTTTAACATGCAGAGGTGACTAGTGACACAGACCATAAGGCCCACAAAGCCTAAACTAGTTTTTGTTTAGCCCTTTACAGAAAACTTTGTCCATCCTTGAGTCACACTCATCCTTATCTCAGATCTCTTCTCTGAAACGAAATGTCCCTCTCCTACCTGAGGCTTTCCCCTCCTCCCGAGCTTTTGAATGTTTCTCTTCTTCATTTTCCTCCTTAAATCCTCAATTTCTTCTTCCAGGACTTTTCTGCCCCCAAATATGTTCAAGAACTGACTTACTTTAAAAAAAAAAAACCAGGCCAGGTGTGGTGGCTCAAGCCTGTAGTCCCATCGCTTTGGAATGCTGAGGCAGGAGGATTGCTTGGGGCCAGGAGTTCCAGACCAACCTGGGCAACACAGCAAAACATTTAAAACTTATCTGGGTGTGGTGGCATGTGCCTGTAGTCCCAGCTACTATGGAGGATGAGGAGGGAGGGTCACTTGAGCCCAGGAGTTTAAAGTTACGGTGAGCTATGAATACACCACTGCACTCCAGCCTGGGCAACAAAGACCCTGTGTCTTAAAAACAAAAACAAAAAACTTTATCAACTCAGGAGTTCACTTGTGCTGCTGTACTTCATCTCTAGCCTCTACCTCCACTTTACCTTTCATTCAGTCACCTGCATCTGGACCCTGATCCCAGTAGTCTGCTGAAACTAGTCTTGCTAAGTCATTAGTGAATTCCTAGCTGCTGGATCCAGTCACTTCCCCAGTCTTTACCTTCCTTATTTTCTCTGACTTTTAACATGTTGATCATGTTTCCTTGAGACCCTTTTTCCTTTAGCTCCGGTAACATCATTGTTCTTCATTGCTCTGTCTCAAAAAATAAAAAATATATATACACACACACACACACACACACACACACATACATATACATACCTATATATACACACACACACATATATATGTTGAACAAAAGTGCCAGAATTCAGTCTTCTGCTGCCAAGTCTAGTGCTTCTACTGCATCAGTATAGATATGAGGAATGTTTGGGAGATGAGAGACAAAATTTGGAATCACTACACCTACGCTTAGGGGTAAAGGGAAAGAAGTGTCTCAGAGAAGGAGTTAAAGAGTACCCCAAGGCATTACTATGTTGTGAAGGACAAGTTTTCAGACATTGAGGACATGATCAATGAGGTATGTTTGCAAATAGTCGAGGAAAATAGGGAAGGACGAAAGAATTAGACTACCGGGAAGTTAAGAGAATAATTTCATACAGTGAAGCCATCTTGCCAACTGGTTAAGAAATACGTGGGCATTAATGGAAATGGAGGCACACATGTCAACTGCCATTTTTTAATTTAAAAAAATTTTTTTCTTTTATTTCTTTTCTAAATCAGCCCAAAATGTTATTATTATTTTTTCTGTCACCTAGGCTGGAGTCCAGTGGTGTGATCACAGCTCACTGCAGCCTCAGCCTCCCAGGCTCAAGTGATCTTCCCACCTCAGCCTCCTAAGTGCTGGGACTGTAGGCATATGCCACCACGCCTGGCTAACTTTTGTGTTTTTTGTAGAGATGAGGTTTTGCCATGCTGCCCAGGCTGGGATTTTCTTTATTAATACTTTTATTTTTATTATTGTTTTTTTTTGTTTGTTTGTTTGTTTGTTTTTTTGAGACGGAGTCTCGCTCTGTCGCCCCAGCTGGAGTGCAGTGGCCGGATCTCAGCTCACTGCAAGCTCCGCCTCCCGGGTTCACGCCATTCTCCTGCCTCAGCCTCCTGAGTAGCTGGGACTACAGGCGCCCGCCACCTCACCCGGCTAGTTTTTTTTTTTGTATTTTTTAGTAGAGACGGGGTTTCACCGTGTTAGCCAGGATGGTCTCGATCTGCTGACCTCGTGATCCGCCCGTCTCGGCCTCCCAAAGTGCTGGGATTACAGGCTTGAGCCACCGCGCCCGGCCTTATTATTGTTTATCTACTTTTTCTTCCCTCTTTTTTTTTCTTTTTTGAGGTCAGGTCCAGTTCTGTTCACCAGGCTGGAGTGCAGTAGCAATCATAGCTCACTGTAACCTTGAACTCCTGGGCTCAAGCAATCTTACCTCAGCTTCCCAAATAGCTGGGACTGTAGGCGCATGTCACCATGCTCAGCTGATTTTGTGGTTTTCTTTGTTTTTAGTAGAGACAGGGTCTTGCTGTGTTGCCCAGGTTGTCTCGAAATCGTGGCCTCAAGTGATCCTCCTGCCTTGGCCTCTTAAAGTGATGGGATTACAAGCATGAGCCACCACACCCTGACTTCTTCCTCTTCCTCTTCCTCTTCCTCTCCCTCTTCCTCTCCTTCCCCTTCTCCTCCTTCTTCTCAATTCACTTTATTTTTCTTGTGTAAAATCCCTGTGTTATAGCCACAGTTGGAGCCTGGGTCCTGTGCACAGAGACTGTGGTGTGGGTCTTGATGAGGTGGTCAGTGAATTTCTGATAGGGAGACTTGGTAAATACAGTCTTTTTCCAGTGATCGGGGTCAGGTAGCTATAGGTCTTAGAGGTGGCCTAAAGGGTGGCTTTGGTGAAGTTGTCCAGGGTAGCAGTGCAGCCCCTGGCGGAGGTATAGCAGTTGTCAATACCAGCCATCAGCAGCAGTTTCCTGGGCACAGGGGCCAAGATGATGCCAGTGCCTCAGGTGGGGTGGGGGAGGGATAAGGTATACCAGCACAGAGCCACAGCAGCCTGTCACCTTGCAAGGGACAGCATGGGGCTTGCTGATCTTGTTTCCCCAGTGGCCTCTCCAAACAGGAACAGTGGAGAGCTTGGCCAGGATCATGGCCCCTTGGATAGCATTGGCAACCTCCTTGGAGCACTGAACATCCAGACTGATGTGGCCTCTGTAGTCCCCGATGGCCTTGAACCTGGTGTACTGGCCAGTGCGGGTCTGCTTTTGCAGAGGTGTAGTCTTCAAAACCTCATCCTTGAGAGGTGACCCCAGCAAAAAGTCAATGATCTCAGACTCCTTGATGGGCAGGGAGAAGAGCTAGATCTTCTCCAGGGACATGATCTTTGTGTCCTGGACCAGGCAGCCCAGCTTGGTGATGTGCATCCACTCCTTGTTCTCAGCCTTGCCTCTGAGAGCTCCATGGCCTCAGCCCTGGCTCCTGGCCAACCACAGCCATGACCCTGGCCCCAATATCCCTGCCAAAGTCTCTGGTGAAGCTGCTGGGCCTCCCATTCCAGGCCCTCCACTGCACTAGAGTCATCTGCCGTTCGGTATTTGTCAGAGAAGCAGCTTTCTTTTTTTTTCTTAACCTTCTACCATGAGGTGAATAATTGACTCGCCTTTCAAGAAGTTTGATGGTGAAAGGAAACAAGAGATTGGCAGTTTAAGAATTATCACATCACCAAATCTTCCAAGAAATTTGCAATATGTTGTCATTTTGTAGGCTTGAAAATATGCAGTGGAAATGATCTAGGGAAATATGTTTGATGGTTAAGTATGTAAATTTCAAGATGTTTTAAACTCAATTTAATATTGGTCTATCAAGTTGTAGTTCTGGAGGTCAGGGTGTTTAGTCAAGCCTTAAAATAAGTTCAGATCTTATTTGAATACAGGTAGCTGTAACAGTATAGTGTACTTTTAGTGCATAGATGTATATAGAGTCTGAAAACATTCTTATATTCATTTAGAATATTCATATACATATAGACTTATTTCTTCCCCATAAATCATTATGTGTTGTCCAGGTATGATTTGATCAACAATAAGGTTTTTCCGCTTTGCTGCTAGAGGCTGTTTTCTGTGTTTATGATGAAAACCCATTTGTATTGTCTACAACGTCTCTTGGGAGCTGAGCTCTGGGTCAGAAAGTTAAGACCTGTGCAGCTCTTTTGTCCTGTTGATGAGGTGTCTTCTGTCTGCCAGGTAAAGCGGTACCAGTGTACCTTTGAGGGCTGTCCCCGCACCTACAGCACAGCAGGCAACCTGCGAACCCACCAGAAGACTCACCGAGGAGAGTACACCTTTGTCTGTAATCAGGAGGGCTGTGGCAAAGCCTTCCTTACCTCTTACAGCCTCAGGATCCACGTGCGAGTGCACACGAAGGAAAAGCCATTTGAGTGCGACGTGCAGGGCTGTGAGAAGGCATTCAACACACTGTACAGGTCAGCCTCATCTCCGTTGCTCTGCCAGCTTCTGACCTTGACCTTGTTGTGACTGCAGGGCTCTTTCTCCTTGCAGGGGAGAGTTATTCACTTTCAGGGCTTTAAAAGACCGCAGCTGTGTTCAACTATGTAAAATTCCTTTCTGCCAGATCTCAGAAAATGAAAGAAAAAATTTAAAAAATGCATTAGAGAAACTTGTTACTTTTTTTTTTTTTTGAGATGGAGTCTCGCTTTGTCGCCCAGGCTGGAGTGCAGTGGTGCAATCTGAGTTTACTGCAAACTCCGCCTCCCAGGTTCATGCCATTCTCCTGCCTCAGCCTCCTGAGTAGCTGGGACTATAGGCGCCCACTACCAAGCCCGGCTAATTTTTTGTATTTTTAGTAGAGCCAGGGTTTCACCATGTTAGTCAGGATGGTCTCGATCTCCTGACCTCGTGATCCACCCGCCTTGGCTTCCCAAAGTGCTGGGATTACAGGTGTGAGCCACGGCTCCCGGCCTTAGAAACTTGTTACTTAAAGATGAACGTATCTTGGGCTGGTTAGAAGCGACAGTACGTTTGTATTTAGATTTGCATCTCATGGAGCAGCATTCTGGCCTGGGCATTTCAGTGCTTGGCATAGAGTACTATCTCCCCATGGCTCAGGATCTTTGTACTAAGGCTTCTGTCCTACCTCAGCTTGAAGGACTTTTCTATCCTGAGAAATGGGGAGTGGCCCATTCAGTAGCCAATTCTCTTTTTCATGTTTGTATCAGGAGACTTAATAGTCTTTAGTATTGAGTATAAAGTAATAGAAATAACAATAGCTAACACTTAAAAAGTACTCACTCTGTGCTAGGCATGATTCTAAGTGCTAGTCCCCATAGCAGCTGATAAGTAAGTGGAAGCACAGATGGGGTTCTATAACTAGCTCAGGTTTCCCCATCCAAGCAGGATGTGGGGTCAGAATTTGAATCCCAGGAAGTCAGTCTCCAGAGTCACACTCATATCACTATGCTATTCTCTGCATTTCTTTTGGGGCAAAATATGTTGGATACTAATATGTTATGGGTATAGAATTCTTACACACTTGATCCTGAAGCACATTAAACTGGCATAGGGAGGCTCTGTAGAACTTTATGACAAAGGGAGGCCGGGCACGGTGGCTCACAGCCTGGCCAACACTGTGAAACCCATCTGTACTAAAAATACAAATATTAGCCGGCGTGGTGGTGGGCTCCTATAATCCCATCTACTTGGGAGGCTGAGGCAGGAGAATCGCTTGAACCCAGGAGGAGGAGGTTGCAGTGAGCTGAGACTGTGCCATTGCACTCCAGCCTGGGCGACACGAGCGAAACTCCATCTCAAAAAAAAAAAAAAAAAAAAAAAATTTTATGACAAAGGGAATTTCTCTGGAATATTTTGCAGGCTGAAAGCACATCAGAGGCTTCACACAGGGAAAACGTTTAACTGTGAATCTGAAGGCTGCAGCAAATACTTCACCACACTCAGTGATCTGAGGAAGCACATTCGAACCCATACAGGGGAAAAGCCATTTCGGTAGGTCTTACTGTTTGCTATTTGTCACTGACCGGGTTTCAGCTGGGGGTCTTGATACACTTTGAAATTTTTCAAAAGAGAAAGAAAACTCCCTTTACTAGCTCTTTCTTTGGCAGCGTTAACTCACCCCAGGATAGCTGTAACCAACCACTGCAGATTAGAGGGGTGCTGGTGGAGTCCAGGAACATCCTTACTCTGTGGATGATGGCCTTTCTGCCTCATTGTTTCCATTTATTTCCAAGAAGCATTTGTTGAAACTCACTTATGTGGTAGGTACTTTTGTTAGTGCTAGAGAATTACTCAAAAGCAGGCCTTCTTCTTAAGAACCTTTGTCTGGTGACAAAAAACCCACAAAATTTGTGGATAATGTCTGAGGCTGCAAATGGCCAAAGTGCTTTCAGCCCAGAGGAGGGATACCTAAGAATCAAGGAGGGGAGGGGATGAGGAGACAAGAGAGGAAATGAGAGGTAGGGATGCTTAGCTTAGTGGTGCAGTTGTTACTTGTTCAAGTTATTGCTTTGTAATAATATCTCGTGTGTATACACAAACATATAGGAGCATCCATTTTTATTCATATATGTCAACATATGTATATCAAATAGATACACGTACTATAAACTTGAAGGAGGGACTTTGGTTATCTACTTTTTTCTCTGCTCATAGTATATAACATGATTCTGGGCATTTAATAGGTGTTCAAACTCAGCTTTGGGATGATTATATGACATTTTAAATGAGATAATCAGTTTGTAAGGATTTCCCCTAAATGTAATATAGATAGATGTATTGCTGAAAACTGCCCATAAACAATGTCTTTGAGGCTGGGCATGGCGGCTCACGCCTGTAATTCCAGCACTTTGGGAGGCCGAGGCAGGTGGATCACTTGAGGTTAGGAGTTTAAGACCAGCCTGGCCAACATGGGGAGACCCCATCTGTACTAAAACTACAAAAATCAGCCAGGTGTGGTGGCACGTGCCTATAGTCCCAGCTATTCTGGAGGCTGAGGCAGGAGAATTGCTAGAACCAGAGAGGCGGAGGTTCTCCACCGCAATCTGGTGAACCGAGATTGTGCCATTGCACTCCAGCCTGGGTGACGGAGTGAGACTCTCTCAAAAAAACATAAATAAATAAAAATAATAATGTATTTGAATTTTGTCAGGGGATATCACAGTTATATTCAAGGCATTAAATATGCTACCCGTTCCTTCTTAAACCACTCATTTTATCAGAGTACTTAGAAACAAAAAGTCTTAGGGACAGTCAACTCTTAGATGCCAATCAAATGTAATTGTGAGCTGGGCGTGGTGGCTTATGTCTGTAATCCCAGCACTTTGAGAGACTGAGATGGGAGGATCACTTGAGCCCAGGAGTTTGAGACCAGCTTGGGCAACACGGTGAGATCCCAACTGTACACAAAATTTTAAAATTAGTTGGGAGTGGTGGGGCATGCCTGTGGTCCCAGCTATTTAGGAGGCTGAGGTGGGAGGATCGCTTGAGCCAGGGAGGCCAAGGCTGTAGTCAGCTGTGGTTATGCCACTACACTCCAGCCTGGGCAACAGAGAGAGATCATGTCTCAGAAAAAAAAAAGGAATTGTGTTTTTAAGTTACAAATGTATTCCTGAGTCATGATCCCTTTAAGGGCAAGAGTAGTTAGATTGTAATTGGTTACTCTACAGATGGATGCTGTGAAACTTAGATTATTCCCTCCCCATCTCCACCCCGTAGGCTGCTGAGAGGACTCTGATTGCTATCCAGTCACATGCATTTCTCTTTGTGATGATTAAAACTGCATTTTTCTTGAATATTCAGTGAGACTTGAGACATGAAGATGATTATATGTAATTAAAAATGAAAATGCTGTAGAGAAGCTTTCTATTTAAAGAAATAAAATATTTTGGTTTATAAGAAAATGCATTCATTCATATAAGTAATTAAGGAATGTCTGCTATGTGCAGGAGCTACAGAAAGAGCTACGTGGATCCTGTACTCAAGTAGTTTACACTCTAGGAAAGCAGATACCAGATGTATCTACAGAGAAAATAAGATTGGAAATGAGAGGTGCCATAAAAGAAATGTAAAGAAATGCCTTAGGAGTTCTGAGGAGGGAAAGATTCCTTTTAGCTTTGGTTATCAAGAGTAAAAGAGAATGAAGTAGATCTCGACACACAAGATTATAGATAAGTTACTTGAGCCTGTCTTCTGATTGATTTTGTTCTTATATTTCAAGCCATGTGCATATTTGAGAGCCACTTTGCTCACTCTTGATATTCCTAATGTTCCACTGGCAGATTTTTCATATGGACTGTCACTGTCAATAGAGGTCTTTTAAGTAATTCATCAAAAGACTTTTGTTGTCAGGGCTCTCAACATGGGCCTTACCTGTAGGGCAAGAAATACTTATCCTGGGCTCTCGGTTCCCTCTGATCCCAGATATGCCACCTTACTTTTTCAAGGACCTCTCATCATTCCCATTCTCTAAAACCAGTGTCATTGATCTGATCTTAGTGTTCTGAATATTTGTTTTAGTTTATATTTATAAGAGATGTTCAGAGGCCAGGTGCGTTGGCTCACGCCTGTAATCCCAGCACTTTGGGAGGCCAGGGTGGGCAGATCACAAGGTCAGGAGATCGAGACCATCCTGGCTAACATGGTGAAACCTTGTCTCTGCTAAAAATACAAAAAAATTAGCCAGGCGTGGTGGTTGGGTGCCTGTAGTCCCAGCTACTCGGGAGGCTGAGTCAGGAGAATGGTGTGAACCCAGGAGGCAGAGCTTGCGGGGAGCCGAGATTGTGCCACTGCACTCCAGCCTGGGGGACAGAGCAAGACTTGGTTTCAAAAAAAAAAAAAAAAAAAAAGATGTTCAGGGTAAAGGTCTATTAGCTAATGACTCCTGTTTCTCTTTGCTTAACAAATTTAGGTGCGATCACGATGGCTGTGGAAAAGCATTTGCAGCAAGTCACCACCTTAAAACTCACGTTCGTACACATACTGGTGAGTTTAGGCCAATTTTTATTTTTTATTTTAACATTCATCAAGCCTGTAACTATCAGTTTTCCATTGAGACCTGTAGAGCTAGGTGGATATAAAGAGACATAAGAGTCTATATATATTCAGGTGAGCCTAATTAGCTCAGCCTTACCTAGAATGTTTGGGTTTCTGTCAGAGGCGGACCTCAGGTGTTCAACCTTAAGAAATGAAACCAATACAGAGACACTCTAAAAAAAACAATCTGTGAGAAACAAATCTTCTCTTTAAACTTCCCAGCAGCAGTCATTCCCAGTGCTTTGCTCTGCATTGAGTTTTAGGACTGAGATGATTAATGTGTAATTTATTCAAGTTTTAACAACTGTTAGCCAAAGTTTCTTAAAAATACCTCTGTTAGGGAAAGGTAGATTTCTTCATCCAGTGAAATGACTTTATGGTAAATTAACACGACTTTGTTATTCTTGCAGGTGAAAGACCCTTCTTCTGCCCCAGTAATGGCTGTGAGAAAACATTCAGCACTCAATACAGTCTCAAAAGTCACATGAAAGGTCATGATAACAAAGGACCCTCATACAGTACACTTACACAACACAATGGATCAGAGGTGTGTAGTGTTTTTGTCTCTTGATCTGGGTACCACAGAACATCAGCAGTTGTTTGTGTATCACAATCAAAGGTTAAAATGTCTTCTCTGTATATCTGTTAGTGAGAGGGAAGAAGTCAGGGTCAAGATCAGTGTCTTGACTTGTGTATTTTACCACCTACTCAACATCTCCACCCAGATATCATCTACTCTTGTCAAACTTAACATGTTCAAACCTGTTCTTCCTGCAGTCTTCCTCATCTTGGTAAATGGCAGCTCTGGTTTTCTAGTGGCAGAGGCCAAAAATCTTATAGTCATTCTTGACTCTTTTTCCCCTCACACTCCACATCCACCAGCAAAGTCTGCCAGCTCATCCTTGATAATTTATCTAGAATACTATCACTTCTTCTGATTACTTTATTCAGTCTACTATTGTCTTTTTGCCCGGATTATTGCAATAACCTGTTAAGTGAGCTTCTTAGGACCTTTTCCCCCTCTTCTGTCTACTCCACAACAGACTGTTCTACATATATTAGCCAGAGAGATCTTTCTGAACTATACAGCAGATAATGTCTGTCGTCTGCTCATAACCCTCAGTAGCTTTTTAAATTTTTATTTATTTTCATAGATTTTTAAAAATTATTTTAACATAGAGACGAGGTCCAAGCAGTCTTTCCCTTTCCCCACCCCCACCCCCGCCCCCGCCTCCTGTCTCAACCTCCCAGTGTGCTGGGATTACAGGTATGAGCCACCCCACCTGGACTCCAGTAGCTTCTTGTATGTATCACTTGAAGTAAAAGTCAGAGTCTTTATAGTAGGCTACAGGGCCCTACACATTCTGGCCTGGTTGCCTCTCTGATCTCATCTACCTCTCTTTTTATTTTATTTTATTTTATTTTTTATGTATCGTATTGTATTGTATTGTATTGTATTATTTTATTTTTCATTTTATTTGAAACAGCGTCTTGCTCTGTCATGTAGGCTGGAGTGCAGTGCTGCAATCTCTGCTCACTGTGACCTCCACCTCCCTGGCTCAGGGATCCTCCCGAATAGCTGGGACCACAGGCATGCACCACCACGCCCGGGTATTTTTTTTTGTATTTTTTGTAGAGATAGGGTCTTCACCATGTTACCTAGGCTGGTCTTGCACTCCTGAGCTTAAGTGATCTATCTACCTTGGCCTCCCAAAGCGCTGGGATTACAGGTGTGAGCCACTGCGCCCAGCCTACTTTTCTTCCTCTCATTTCAGCCATATGGTCCTCTTTGTGGTTTCTTGAACCAAGGAGTGCCCACTCCTGCCCCTAGGCCTTTATACTTGCTGTACCCTCTGCTTGGAACATCTTCTCTAGATATGTGCATGGTTGATACCCTCTTTCCTTCACTCTCTACTCAAATGCCACTTACCTAAGAGAGCTTCCCTAACCACCCAGTGAAAGAGAAACTCCTATCCCAGAGTTCCCTACTACCCTTACTCTCCATAACACTTATCCTCTCTTACCCTGTCGCACACTGTATAGTTATTTGTTTTTTGTCCTCTCTCTCCACTAGAACGTAAGCTCTATGGGGGCAGGACTTTAGTTTGTTCATTATTGTGTCCCTGGGCCTGGAACAGTGTTTATGCATAGCAGATGCATTACGAATGTTTGTTGAGTGTGTGCATGAATAGGAGTATCCTAGGTAAGCAGGGCTACCACCTAAAGTGTGAATTGTGACTGGCGTTCTGGGACTCCAGAGTTCCCTTAGCCTGGGCAGTGGAATTTGAATTCTAAATCCCAGGTACCACTCTGAGTAAGGAGCCCTTTGGTGCCCATGTGGGAAACACAGTGGTGGAAGGACCATTTACTTTTCAGTCAGAAGCACCAGATTTGTCTTCTGCTAATTAGCTGTGTGTTTTGGGGCACTTCATTCCCACTGTCTGAGCATCAGTTTTCTCATATTTAAAATGGGAATATAAGTTTGTGGCAATTTGTTACAAAAAGAATAAAAAACAGGGATATAGAATAATACTTCCAAGGTTTACATGAATGGCAAATGAGGTCATGTGAAATCACTGTAAATGATGAGACCAGGTATACAGATAGTATTAATTTCACATTATTATAGGTTTGTTACTCTGGAGCCTTAGTCATGAGATCATATTAAAACTCTTTATTATTATTATTATTTTTCTTTTTTGAGACAGAGTCTCACTCTTGTTGTCCAGGCTGGAGTGCCACTAGTGGCATGATCTTGGCTCACTGCAACTTCTGCCGCCCAGGTTCAAGTGATTCTCCTGCCTCAGCCTCCTGAGTAGCTGGGATTACAGGTGCCTGCCACCACACCTGGCTAATTTTTGTAGTTTTAGTAGAGACGGGGTTTCACCATGTTGGCCAGGCTGGTCTCGAACTCCTGACCTCGTGATCCACCTGCCTCAGCCTCCCAAAGTGCTGGGATTACAGGCCTGAGCCACCGCGCCCAGCCTAAAACTCTTTTTTTTTTGAGATGGAGTCTCGCACTGTCACCTGGGCTGGGGTGCAGTGGCCCGCTCTCGGCTTACTGCAACCTCCACCTCCTGGGTTCAAGTGATTCTCCTGCCTCAGCCTCCCAAGTAGCTGGGATTACAGGCGCACACCACTGCGCCTGGCTAATTCTTTGTGTTTTTAGTAGAGACGGGGTTTCACTATGTTGTCCAGGCTGGTCTCAATTTCCTGACCTCGTGATCCACCCGCCTTGGCCTCCCAGATTGCTGGGATTACAGGCATGAGCCACCATGCCCGGCCTCTAAAACTCTTTATTAATAATTTTTAAGAAATGTAAGATATTCTTCTAAGAATATCAGGATTTTAAAAAATTAAGTAATTCACGGGGTGGGGGGAGCAGGGAGGGATAGCATTAGGAGATATACTTAATGTAAGTGATGAGTTAATGGGTGCAACACACCAACATGGCACGTGTATACATATGTAACAAACCTGCACATTGTGCACATGTACCCTACAACTTAAAGTATAATTTAAAACAAATTTAACTAATTCACTTAGCCCTTGCTTTGGTTGGCTTAAACTTCTTCAGATAACACATGTAGACACGTGGAACATTAGGGACTTTGTAATCAAGTGTTTTGTTACATGATATGCCACTGTAAATCCTGATTTTTGTTACTCAATTAGAATTTTTTCTCTTTTACAGGATACAAATCACTCACTTTGTCTAAGTGACTTGAGCCTTCTGTCCACAGATTCTGAATTGCGAGAAAATTCCAGTACGGTAAGTGTATCTGTAATACCAGTGCTAGAAAAATAAGGGCAAGAATTAAGCACTCCCTTTGGTGGGAAAATTGAGGCAGGCCAGTCTTTGAAGTTTTCTAGGTTTAATTGTGTTTAATTACTGACCATGTAGGATTTTTTTCTTCTTCTCCTGATAAGAGTTCTTTTCTTTTTTTTTTTTTTTTTTTTTTTTGAGATGGAATCTCCCTCTTTCGCCCAGGCTGGAGTGCAGTGGCGCGATCTCGGCTCACTGCAAGCTCTGCCTCCCGGGTTCACGCCATTCTCCTGCCTCAGCCTCCCGAGTAACTGGGACTACAGACACCCGCCACCGTGCCCTGCTAATTTTTTGTATTTTAAATAGAGACGGGGTTTCACTGTGTTAGCCAGGATGATCTCGATCTCCTGACCTCGTGATCCACCTGCCTTGGCCTCCCAGAGTGCTGGGATTACAGGCATGAGCCACCATGCCTGGCCTCCTGATAAGAGTTCTATTAGGAGAGGCTGTTCTCTCTGAGGCCTCATTCCTTTTGACCCAGGTCACTCACTTCGTAACCTCCTGGCCCCAGAAAATTTCTTTTTTTACTCATTTAGCAAATATGTATTGACCAGGCACTATGCCAGTACTGAGCTTGTAGTAGTAAAAAATGTTGGTATAGTTTGTCCTTGAGGAACTTCCTTGAGGAAGTCTAGTACTGTAAGACATAACCAGAATTCTAGTTTCTGGACTTTTTCAAACCCTGTCTATGTGACCTGGCTTGGTCTTTTTCCTTTTTCCTTTTTAATTTTAATTTTACTTATTTTTTTCTCTGCCATGGGGAGAAAAAAATTTCCCTTCTTTAAGTTTATTAACTTTTTGAAGAAACCTCTTACACATATACAGTCCTCTATCTGCTAAAGGACAAACCCACTTTATCTTAATCTGATTGCTTTGATTTCAAGCTGTTAGGAAATTTGACTGCCATTCCCATGGCTCCGTGATGCAACATACAAACCAGTGCATTGAGTCTGAGCTTATGCAGCCTCCTCCATGTTGAACGTGAGAGTTTTACAGTATTGCTAACACTAATTTTGAGTTCGGGTTTTTTTGTTGTTGTTTTTCCTGGTAAGTAAATATAGGCTAGATTTTCTGTGATTATGTGCATAATGAATAAATGTGATGGGAAGTATTTGAACAGAGACTGAATGATTCAGGAATGCTGTGAAAAAGTGTTTTTTTCAGTGTGTGATTAGTGGAGTCAACAACAGCACTTCTAAAGTTGTAGGTTCTTGTGCCTCCCCCAAGCCTGCTGAGTCAGCATGTCTGATCGTGGCATCTGAATCTGCATTTTTATGTAAACATGACAAGGTGTAATTCTCCTTCTGGTAGTGGCAGAGTTGTTGTTATGAGACCAACTCTTCTGTAGAAAACAGCTGAAAATTCTAGACAAAATATAAAAAACTACTGTGGAAAGGCACTGGTGAGCAACCAATAGCAAGCAGAGGTAACCTTGGAAGAAGGGATTACTTGGAAGATAGTAAAGGCATCGGGTAGGCTTGCAAGTTTTATGGCTTATCCACCTTGGACAAGCCCCAGTTGGCACCCAACGAGGCAGCCAAACTAATAAAAAGTCAATATTACTGGCTTGAATAACCAGAGGACAGAGTTCAGAGTGGCCACAGTAACCAGGCAGGTAACCTGGAAAGGAAAGAGTCACTAAAGGGGAGTCCCAAGTTCTGTGTATAAACTCCCTCCAAATCTCTGGCTGAACCCTGCATCATGGATGTGTGTGATAGACTCTTAAGCAGCCCAGCCAAGGCTAAATTAACAGGCAAGGATTTTTTTTATTTTTTATTTTTTTATGGGACAAGGATTTTTAAGAGCTATTATATGCTCAAGGACGTAAAGGATATGCTTGTAATTATTGAACAAATAGGAAATCTCAGCAGAGGAATAGAAACTGTAAAAAATGTACCAAATGGAAATCTAAAACGGAAAAATATAGCTGAAATAATTCACTGGATGGGGCTTAACAGCAGATTGGAAATGACAGAAGAAAGAATCAGTTAAGTTGAAGATCGATCAATATAAATGAACTAATCTAAAGAACAAAGAGAAAAAGATTAAATGGGTACATCATATGATTTTTATGCATATTCCTATTTCACAACTAATGTTCTAAAAGAAATTTCTGTACTAGGTGGCCTAGATGCCCTCTAAGCTACCCAGCCTAAGATTTCTGGGAATAATATCCCTTTAACATGTAACTGTGTTAAATAGCTTAGGAGTCTATTCTCTGGCCAAGACTATGACATATAACTATGGAGCTTTCTGGAGCCCTAGGGTCACCAGGAAAATACCCTGGCATAAGGGGACACCAAGTACTTATAAAAAAGGGAAGCCTTTCCTATCACAATTTATATAATCAAGAGAGAGAAGCACTATCCCTTGGGGTTTAATTATAGATTATGCTCCTGGTACCCAGTGTTTATCTCAGATGTAGAAATTGATTTTAGCCTTTCAAATTAAGGCCACAATTCCTTGAAGCAATAGCATTAATTTTTCTTTGCTTGAAAAAAAAAATTAGGGACATGTGCAGTGGCTCATGCCTGTAATCCCAGCACTTTGGGAAGCAGAGGTGGGTGGATGGCTTGAGCCCAGGAGTTTGAGACCAATCTGGGCAGCACAGTGAGACCTCATCTCTAGTAAAAGTAAAATATTAGCTGGTGTGGTCCCAGCTATTTGGCAGGCTGAGGCAAGAGGATTGTTTGAGCCCTGGAGTGAGCCATGATCATACCACTGCATTCCAGCCTGGGCAACAGAGCAAGACCCTGTCTCAAAAAAAAAAAAAAAAAAAGAATCAGGACTTGTTAAAATCAAATAGTAAATTTATATGAGATAATGATTTTATGGGTTTCTGAGCAGCCCATTTGTATGCATGTCCTAGAAATGAACTTTGGTTCGCTCAGATCTTTTGTTAGAGGAGGGTTGAAGGTGCTAGAGAATGGCCTTCTCGAAGGCCAGACAGCTACCTGTATTCTCCTCTTCTTTGCTCTTTGCTCCTTGCTCCAGGCCTGGAAAGCTCAGCCTGTTCTTGTCTTCTCTACTTGTGAAAGTTGTTCCTACACACTCTGATCCCAGCGTTTTTGCCCTCAAGCTTGGCGGGGGCTTCAGCATTTTCCTTTTTTTAAATTTTAACAAACTTTTTTTTTTTTTTTTTTTTTGAGACGGAGTCTTGCTGTGTCGCCCAGGCTGGAGTGCAGTGGCCGGATCTCAGCTCATTGCAAGCTCCGCCTCCCGGGTTTTTACGCCATTCTCCTGCCTCAGCCTCCCGAGTAGCTGGGACTACAGGCGCCCACCACCTCGCCCGGCTAGTTTTTTGTATTTTTTAGTAGAGACGGGGTTTCACCGTGTTAGCCAGGATGGTCTCGAACTCCTGACGTCGTGATCCGCCCGTCTCGGCCTCCCAAAGTGCTGGGATTACAGGCTTGAGCCACCGCGCCCGGCCACAAACTTTTTATTGTAGTACAATACACATACAGAAAAGCACATGTATTATAAATGTATAGCTTGATGAATCATCACAATTCATCCCACCCATGTAACCAGCACCCCAATCAAAAAGAACATTCCCAGCCAGGCATGGTGGTTTACGCCTGTAATCCCAACACTTTGGGAGTTTGAGGTGGGCGGATCACCTGAGGTCAGGAGTTCGAGACCAGCTTGGCCAACATGGCTAAACTCCGTCTCTACTAAAAATACAAAAATTAGCCAGGCGTGGTGGCAGGCGCCTGTAATCCCAGCTACTTGGGAAGCTGAGGCAAGAGAATCGCTTGAACCCTGGAGGCAGAGGTTGCAGTGAGCTGAAATCGTGCCATCGCACTCCAGCCTGGGCGACAAGAGGGAAACTCCGTCTCAAAACAAAACAAAATAAAACAAACAAACGAAAGAACATTCCCAGCACCCCAGAGGCCCCCCTACTACATACCCCCAAAAGCTATGATCTCTCCCTGCAGACAACCACTATTCTGATTTCTAGCAACTAAGATTAGCTTTTCCTGGTTTTTTTTTTTTTTTTATGCTTTTATGATTGGACTCATATACTTGTTTATGTCTGGCTTTTCTTCTTATAACATTATGTTTAAGAAATTAAGCCATATTCTTACATACAGTTACAGGTCATTCATTCTTGTTGTTGAACAATATTACACTAAGTGAATATACCACAATACACTAAATGAATATACCAATATTTGTTCTTTCTCCTGTTGGGCATTTGGATAGTTTCTAGTTTGGAGCCATTATGAATAGTGCTGCTGTGAACATTTTTGTACATATGTTTTGGAGGCACACAGCCCATTCCTTTTCTTCTCCCTAGTATTATTGAGAGATTAGGTTGGTCAAAAGTAATTGCCGTTGAAAGTAATGGCAAAAACTGCAAATACTTTTGCATCAATCTAATATCATTGACAAATATAGCTCATTCCTTTTTTTTTTTTTTTGAGACGGAGTCTTGCTCTGTCGCCCAGGCTGGAGTGCAGTGGCCGGATCTCAGCTCACTGCAAGCTCCGCCTCCCGGGTTTACACCATTCTCCTGCCTCAGCCTCCCAAGTAGCTGGGACTACAGGTGCCCGCCACCTTGCCCGGCTAGTTTTTTGTATTTTTTAGTAGAGATTGGGTTTCACCGTATTAGCCAGGATGGTCTCGATCTCCTGACCTTGTGATCCGCCTGTCTCGGCCTCCTAAAGTGCTGGGATTACAGGCTTGAGCCACTGTGCCCGGCCAGCTCATTCCTTTTTAATTATGTTACTACCTATAATGATTTATAAACAGAACAAAAATAATAACTATGGCCAGTCACGGTGGCTCACGCCTGTAATCCCAGCACTTTGGGAGGCCAAGGCGGGTAGATGATGAGGTCAGGAGATCGAGACCGTTTGGGCTAACACAGTGAACACTGTGTCATGGTTAACGAGGCTAACACAGCTAACCCCGTCTCTACTAAAAATACAAAACACAGAATTAGCCGGGCGTGGTGGCGGGCGCCTGTAGTCCCAGCTCCTCGGGAGGCTGAGGCAGGAGAATGGCGTGAACCTGGGAGGCGGAGCTTGCAGTGAGCCAAGATTGTGCCACTGCACTCCTGCTTGGGTAACAGAGCAAGACTCCAGCTCAAAAATAATAATATAATAATAATAACTGTGAGGAGATTGCAAAGCTTATGCTCAATGGTAGTTGTTAGTCAACTATTTTTCAAACTGGATTGCACCTTTTTATTGGGTTTTAAAATAGTGGTTTACAATCAGCATTTCAAAGACATAATAGAATAGAACAAAAATCAGAGGACATTGCACATAGTAAGGATAAGGTCTGTTTCATAGACTTGTTTCAGTTACATATATGGATATGTATATAATATGAAGAATATATGTATATACAGTGTAAAATGTATTTCTTTGTATCACAATGAAAATTTGAAGGTCACACTGTTGGCCTATGAGCTTTAACTCTGTCTGGACTGGAAGCTGGAAGTTGTCCCACTAGATTTGAGATGGAGTCTCACTCCATCACCCAGGCTGGAGTGCAGTGACTTGATCTCGGCTCGCTGCAACCTCTACTTCCCAGGTGCAACTAATTCTCCTGCCCCAGCCTCCCGAGTAGCTGGGATTTGAGGCACACACCACCATGCTCAGCTAATTTTTGTATTTTTGGTAGAGACGGGGTTTCACCATGTTGGTCAGGCTGGTCTCGAACACTTGACCTCAAGTGATCTGCCTGTCTCAGCCCCCCAAACTGCTGGGATTACAGGTGTGAGCCGCTGCGCCTGGCCTCACATAATTTCTGACTTCAGCTTCTATCATATTGGTAATCAAGATCACTGAACTTAAAAAAAAAAATCACTGAATTTCCCCTCCTTCAGCTGATAGACTTAGAATAGAATCATCAGCTGGTGGTGGGGGCTCATACTTGTAATCCCAGTGCTTTAGGAGGACCGCTTGAGGCCAGTTCAGGACCACGCTGGGCAACATAGCAGGACCTTATCTCTACTAACAATGATTTTTAAAAGCAGCCAGGCATGGTGGCATGTGCCTGTAGTTCCAGCTACTTGGGAGGCTGAGGGGATGATCTTGAGCCCGGGAGTTCGAGGTTACAGTGATTTGACTGTGCCACTGCACTCCAGCCTGGGTAACAGAGCTAGACCCTGTCTCAAAAAAAAGGGGTAGGGGGAGAATAATTGTCGCCTTTTGGCTCCAGTGGGCAATTTAATCTTTGAGCACATCTAGATTGGTGGACAGCCCCACTCGTCACCACACTTCTGCCCAATCCCAAAGTGATCCTTCTGAGTTCTCCCTTCTAGAAGCAGAGTTGTTGCAAAATGACCTTAAAACGTAAGTTGTCACTAGGGCAAGATCTGCCCTAAAATTAGGTTTTAGTTTGGTGTATATGGTGTGTTTATGTTATTTTCAATTACATGTGACCTTTGAACAACACAGGGGCTAGGGATGCTGGCCCCCCAACCCATACCCCCTGCACAACCAAATCCTAGTATAACTTTTGACTCCCTCAAAACTGAGCTAGCAATGGCCTTAGCCTACGGTGATTGGAAGCCTTACTGATAACATAAACAGTTTAGATTAGCAGATATTTTGAATGTTATATGTATTACATATTGTATTCTTAAAGTAAGCTAGAAAAAATAAAATGTTAAGAAAATCACAAAGAAGAGAAAATAAATTTACTTTTTATTAAGTGGAAGTAGATCATTGTAAAGGTGATTCATCCTCATTGTCTTCACATTGAGTAGGCAGAGGAAAAGGAAGAGGAGGGGTTGGTTTTGCTGTGTCAGGGGTGGCAGAAGTGGAAAAAAGTCCAAGTGTAAGTCCACTTGTGCAGTTCAAACACATATTGTTCAAGGGTCAGCTGTACTTGCTTTTCTTTACAAGTTGGTAGATTTCGTTTTTTTTTTTTTTTTTTTTTTGAGACGGAGTCTTGCTCTGTCGCCCAGGCTGGAGTGCAGTGGCCAGATCTCAGCTCACTGCAAGCTCCGCCTCCCGGGTTCACGCGGTTCTCCTGCCTCAGCCTCCCGTGTAGCTGGGACTGCAGGTGTCCGCCACCTCGCCCGGCTAGTTTTTTTGTATTTTTTTTAGTAGAGACGGGGTTTCACCGTGTTAGCCAGGGTGGTCTCGATCTCCTGACCTCGGCCTCCCAAAGTGCTGGGATTACAGGCTTGAGCCACCGCGCCCGGCCACAAGTTGGTAGATTTCATGTAAAAATCAAAATTTCTGCATCTGATACGGTGGCTCACACCTATAATCCCAGCACTTTGGGAGGTTGGGGTGGGAGGATCCCTTGAGCCCAGGTCAAGACCAGGCTGGACAACATAGTGAGACCCTATCTCTACAGAAAAATTAAAAAATTATCCAGATGTAGTGGCCCATACCTGTGGTCCGAGCTACTTGGAGGCTGAGGTGGGAGGATCGCTTGAGCCTGGGAGTTGAAGGCCGCAGGGAGCTATGATCATACCACTGCATTCCAGCCTGGGCAATAGAATAAAGAAACCCTGTCTCAAAAAAAAGAAAATCAAAATTTTGCCACTTGAGTTCTGGTAATTCCTGGCCTGCATAGTCCCGTGACAGCATTTGGCTGAAGCCCTTGAGGTGACTGGCATGCATTCTCTCCAGTATGCCACAACCCACCTCCCTTGCTTCACGTATTTCTGTTCCTTGTCTGAACTTTGTAGGCAGTTGCCCTTACCACTCTTGCCCTACAGACTGTAGGGGTAGAGGTGGATTGGAGGTTGACCATGGATAGAAGAACTGTAGTCTTTTCCCTTCCCTGAACTAAAGTGAAGAGTGCTCATTTTAGTTAGTGCCTGTGGGGAGGCAGGCCCTCAGGGATTGTGTTGGGTTTTTCCCCCTCACATTTTACCTTTTGTTTTTAATGCCTCTGACCTTTTATTAAGTATAAAGCTATCACTATTATCATCATTGTCTTGTTTGATTTATTACCATGCATACATATTAGAATATCATAGATATTATGAAAGATATTCACAATGTTATTACACGAGGAAAGCAAGTTGCAGGGTAATGAATATTATATAATCTTTTTTCTTTTTTTTTTTGGATACAGAGTCTTGCTCTGTCACCCGGGCTGGAGTGCAATGGTGTGATCTTGGTTCACTGCAACCTCTGCCTCCCAGGTTCAAGCGATTCTCCTGCCTTAGCCTCCCAAGTAGCTGGGATTACAGGCGCCTGCCACCACGCCCTGCTAATTTTTGTATTTTTAGTAGAAACGGGGTTTTACCATGTTTGCCAGGCTGGTCTCGAACTCCTGACCTCAGGTGATCTGCCTGCCTCAGCCTCCCAAAGTGCTGGGATTACAGGCGTGAGCCACCACACCCGGCCTATAATCTCATTTTTTAATGTAAGATTTGGTCTTTTAGATCAGAAGTCAGCAAGGTTTTTTGGTAATGAGCCAGATAGTAAATATTTTAGGCTTTGTCGATCACATGGTCTATGTCACAACTAGTCAACTCTGCCATTGTAGCAAAAGTAGCAACTCTGCCATCTGTAGCACAGATAATATGTAAATGAATGCGTTTGCCTGTGTTCCAATAAAACTTTATTTACAAAAACAGGAAATAACTGGCAAGTCATAGTGTGCCAGTTCCTGTTTTAAAGTATTTGAGGGGCTGGGCATGGTGGCTTATGCCTGTAATCCTAACATTTTAGGAGTCTGAGGTTGAGTGGATTGCTTACGCCCAGGAGTTCAAGACCAGCCTGGGCAACATAGTGAGATTCTATCTCTATTAAAAAATAAATAAATAAAAATAAAATATTTGAGGACCCAAATCTTTAGTGTCTAAGGCTTAAGAAAATATGTGTTACTTTAAATAGCAAAAGGTAGAGACAAGATGCATAAAAAAGATTTTCTTTCTAGTTCTGCTGCTTTGAATGTTTTCTCTCATGGTGAAGAATTGTCTCAAGATGGCCAATCTCACATCTTTGTCTTTCTCCAATAGACCCAGGGCCAGGACCTCAGCACAATTTCACCAGCAATCATCTTTGAATCAATGTTCCAGAATTCAGATGATACGGCAATTCAGGAAGATCCTCAACAGACAGGTTTGTCACATGGACTCTTTCTACTCACATCTCAGCACTTGCTGACACACTGAGTCATAGGCACAATGAATCATTCTAGTTAGCTTAAATGAAGTGAGCTTTCTATAAAGGGTCAGAAAAGTTTGAGTCTTTCAGTTTAATTCCATCTTTTCCCCTACTTCCCTCAGTCCTGAAGAAGAGAGTCTCTTTTCCCAGAATCTTTTGTTGGCTGTAAAAAACAAAATGGGAGGAGCTGTGAGCTCTTTCTTCTGCCTTTTTTTTTTTTTTTGAGACAGCGTCTCATGTTGTCACCAGGTGGGAGTGCAGTGGTGTGATCTTGGCTCACTGCAACCTCCACCTCCAGGCTTAAGTGATCCTCCCACCTCAGCCTCCCGAGTAGCTGGGACCACAGGCATGTGCCACCACACCCAGCTAATTTTATTTTATTTTATTTTTGGTGGAGATGGGATTTTGTCATGTTGCCCAGGCTGCTTTCAAACTCCTGAGCTTAGGCAATCCACCTGCCTCAGCCTACCAAAGTTCTAAGACTACAGGCATGAACCACCGTGCCCAGCCTTGTGAGCTCTTTCTTCTGATGTGATACACTGTCTATGAATGAACAGGACCCACAAACTCACAAATTTCAGATGCATCGATCATACTGTGTTCGATGAAAATTTGTCTGTAAAACTTCCCATTAGTCAGAAAGTATATTCACTAGTTATATCAAAAAAAGGATGTTTAGTCTCTTTGCCAGAAAAGCCTTAAGACACTTTTTAAAATGGTTAGACCTACATTGGGTCTTCACATTTAGGAAGTGAGGTTGATGGTGAAACTTGATACTTTGACCAGAGGTGTCACTAAATGAAAATGACAGAAAGCTGGCCTGCTAGCTATGAAGAGATGAGTTCAGTGGACTTCAGCTGTGTTTTGTTTAGCCCATAATGACTGTTTTTGTGGCTCATCTAAGGCTTGGGATATGTATATATATATTTCTATTTCTTTTTCTTGCCAGCTTCCTTGATTGAAAGTTTTAATGGTGATGCAGAGTCAGTCAGTGATGTTCCGCCATCCACAGGAAATTCAGCATCTTTATCTCTTCCACTTGTACTGCAGCCTGGCCTCTCCGAGCCACCCCAGCCTCTACTACCTGCCTCAGCTCCGTCTGCTCCTCCGCCTGCTCCTTCCCTAGGACCTGGCTCCCAGCAAGCTGCATTTGGCAACCCCCCTGCTCTCTTACAACCTCCAGAAGTGCCTGTTCCCCACAGCACACAGTTTGCTGCTAATCATCAAGAGTTTATTCCACACCCCCAGGCACCGCAGCCCATCGTACCAGGACTTTCTGTTGTTGCTGGGGCTTCTGCATCAGCAGCGGCAGTGGCATCAGCTGTGGCAGCACCAGCCCCACCACAAAGTACTACTGAGCCCCTGCCAGCCATGGTCCAGACTCTGCCCCTGGGTGCCAACTCTGTCCTAACTAATAATCCCACAATAACCATCACCCCGACTCCCAACACAGCTATCCTGCAATCCAGCCTAGTCATGGGAGAACAGAACTTACAATGGATATTAAATGGTGCCACCAGTTCTCCACAAAACCAAGAACAAATTGTAAGTATTATGTATAAATATACCCAGTGGGGTGAAGTGTGTTTACATAGGTGACGTGTTCAGAAGTTTTTACTTCAAAAAGAAAAGTGGCTGTCATATCCACCATGAAACTTGTCAATGACTACCTTTTAGTCATTTTCCACATAATCAAGTGGTATAAATGTAGGAAATGCTGTGGTCAGTACCTACAATAAGGAGGCAGAGAAACAGTCTTTATCTAGCAGGAGGCACTCGAACAAATATTCCTACTGATACTGGAATCTAATCACATCTTCTAGTATAAAAAAGCAGTCAGCAAACTCCAGAGGCCCCAGAATATTCCAGAAAAAGAAGGTTGTCTTCAAGGCAGAGTCAGACTGATGTGAGGGACTGATGTGACCCAGTCAGATGGCACCGGATAGCAGTGGCCAAGTCAGAGAACTAATCTGCTCCCACAGCCCATCATAGAATCATTTTCTGAGGAAGTGCTTGGTCTTGATGACTAGGGAAATGACTTGGTCTTTCAGTTAATGCTTCATGGTGAAGAATTGTCTCAGGGTGGCCAATCTCACAACTTTGAAAGCCTGATATTTGCCATATACCACACTGAATATCTGGAGGATACAGAAAAGAGAAAAAAAACATGATTTTTTTTTTATAAAAACGTATATTCTAGTTAAAGAGGCTAAAAATGCCAAAAAGAAAGTTAATATTACCAGTAGATTAAGTACTAAATACTAATAATGATAATTTAAAAAACATCAACAGCTATTATTTATTGAGTCCTTACTATGTGTAAGGACTTATGTGCTACATATTTTTTAAAATTGAGGATTTGCAACGTGTCAGTTATTACCTATGTACATTATTTTTAGATTACTTTTTTTTGGACTTTATTGAACAGATGGTACAGAGAGTTTCCATAAACCTTTCTCCATCCCCAGTTTCCCCTCTTATTATTATCATTATTATATATTTTGAGGCAGGATCTGGCTCTGTCACCCACGCTAGAGTGCAGTGGTGCTATCTCAGCTCACTGCAACCTCCGCCTCTCGAGCTCAAGCCATCCTCCCACCTTAGTCTCCTAACTGGGACTACAGGCACCCACCACCACGACTGGCTAATTTTTTGTATTTTTTATAGAGATGGGGTTTCGCCATGTTGCCTAGGCTGGTCTTGAACTCCTAGACTCAAGCGATCTGCCTGCCTCAGTCTCCCAAAGTGCTGGGACCATAGGCGTGAGCCATCATGCCCAGCCCTCCCTCCCCTATTATTATTATTATTTTTTATCTGTATCATCTTGTGTTTGTCCCCTATTACTAACATCTTGCAACAGTGTGGTACGTTGGTTACATCTGATGAACCAGTATTGATACATTATTATTATCTAAAGTCCATAGTTTACATTAGGGTCCATTCTTTGTGCTGTACAGTTCTACTGGTTTTGACAAATGCGTAATGTCATCTATCTACCATTATAATATCCAGAATAGTTTCACTTTTTAAAAAATTCCTTGTCCTTCACTTATTCATCCCTGCTACGTCTTCCCCCTCCCCTAGTAATCATTGATATTTTTACTATCTCTGTATACCTGCAGCTCTGTGTGTCACACAAAGCACATTTTAACATATTACAACAATCCTAGGAGGTAGGTCTAATTTTCCCAATGGAGGGCAGAGGTCCAGAGAGGTTTGGTGACTGGCTGAAGTTCCCACAGCTCACAAGTGGCAAAGCTGGGATTTAAGCATAAGCAGATTGATCCCAGAGTTGGTGGCTCTTGGCCACTGCGTTGAGGGGTTCAGACACTAATGGTTTGTTGGGTGACCATACAGGTCAGGTGAGCCTTGAGATACGGGTAGGAATTAGATGGAGAAAAGGATGGTACTAAGTTGGAGAATCTAGAGGTGGATGTATGCTACTATCAGACACACTAGAAAGGCGATTTGGGGCTCAATAGGGAGAACACTCAAATTCCAGAAGTAGGCTGCCAATCCTCTCTAGATCTAGAGAGCCTGTTTCCATTTCTAGATAGCCAGAGTCATTGGAAAGGGCTTTCCAGTGTTGTGACCCAGCCCGCCTCCATGTGGTTTTTATTGTTTTCTCTGGCCCTGTCCTGGGGTGCTGAGTGAAACAAGTCATCCCTTTTCTTTTCAGGTATTTAAATATGGGTCTCACTTCTCCTTTTTTTTTCTTTTTTTTTGAGTCAGATTCTTGCTTTGTTGCCCAGGCTGGAGTGCAGTGGTGCAGTCTTGGCTCACTGCAACCTCTGCCTCCTGGGTTCAAGCGATTCTCCTGACTCAGCCTCCCGAGTAGCTGGGACTACAGGCACACACCACCACGCCTGGCTAATTTTTGAATTTTTAGTAGAGACAGGGTTTCACCGTGTTGGCCAGGCTGGTCTCCAACTCCTGGCCTCAGGTGATTTGCCCACCTTGGCCTCCTAAAGTGCTGGGATTACAAGCGTGAGCCACCATGCCCGGCCTCCATTATTATTTTATAGTATCATCTGCTATATAACTTAGCCAGAAGCTTTCACTTTCCTCCCACACTCATCTTAGAGGCACTTTTTAATTTCCTTTTTAGAGAGATAAAAGACAAAGCTGCCTCAAGATAAGACTTCAAGAAAGTAGAAACCTTTTAGCCCATGTAATAGGAAGTATAGTAGAGTGATAAGGGTGACTTTCTGGGCATGGGTTTGTAGTCCTGCTTAGTCATAATATAAATAATGAATGTTCTCGAACTCCTGACCTCAGGTGATCCACCCGCCTCGGCCTCCCAAAGTGCTGGGATTACAGGTGTGAGCCACCATGCCCGGCCTTAAATAATAATGTTTACTGAATGTTCACCATGCGCCAAGTGTCCTACGTGCATCATCTCATTTCATCCTCACAGGGGCCTTTGAAAGGTTTTTGGTTATTGTCTTAGTCCATTTTCTGTTGCTTAAAACAGAATACCCCAAACTGGGTAATTTATAAAGAAAACACATTTATTTCTTAGAGTTATGGAGGCTGAGAAGTCCAAAGTTGAGGGGCCACATCTGGAGGGCCGCCCTGCTGGTGTGGAACCCTCTGCAGAGTCCTGAGGCAGCACAGAGCATCACATGGCAAGGGGTTGAACATCCTAGCTCGGGAGTCTCTTCTTATTATTTATTTATTTTATTTATTTTTATTTTTTTGAGATGGAGTCTCACACTGTCGCCCAGGCTGGAGTGCAGTGGCGAGATCTTGGCTCACTGCAACCTCCACCTCCCAGGTTCACACCATTCTCCTGCCTCAGCCTCCCGAGTAGCTGGGACTACAGGCACCCACCACCACGCCCAGCTAATTTTTTATATTTTTAGTAGAGACAGGGTTTCACCATGTTAGCCAGGATGGTCTCCATCTCCTGACCTTGTGATCCGCCCGCCTTGGCCTCCCAAAGTGCTGGGATCACAGGTGTGAGCCACCACTGTGCCCGGCCTTTTTGTTTGTTTGTTTGTTTAAGAGAGAGAATCTCACTATGTTCCAGGCTGGGCTGGCTTTAAACTCCTAGGCTCAAGCGATCCTCCCTCAGTCTTCCAAATAGCTGGGACTATAGGCATGTACCACCACACCCTGCTTCTCTTACTCTTCTTATAAAGCCACCAGTCCCACTCCCATGATAACCCATTAATCCATGAGTGAATTAATTCATTCATGACCCAGTCACCTCTTAAAAACCCAGCCTCTCAATACTGCCACACTGGGGATTAACTTTCAACATGAGTTTTGGAGGGGACAGATACTCCATCCATAGCAGTTATTATTCCTGTTTTTATAGGTGGGGAAACAAGACTCTAAGAGGTTAAATCACATGCTCAACATCAACAACTAATAAGTGGCAGAGCTTGGACTTGAATCCAAGTGTGGCCAAATCTAGGGCCCACCCTTGAACTATGCTGTGCACCTTATAGCACAAGGCCTTTACAGGGCTGTCTGCCTGTGAGAGGAAGCCTTAGCCTGTCCTTGGCATGCAACTTAATCTCTGAGGGGAAAAAAAGAACTTTTCAGCTTTCTTAGAAGTATTGGGAGGCAGCAGGGAAGGTGGAGAATCTGAAGGAAAGCTAGCCCTGGGATCCCTCTGAGAAGACCATCTGCTTGAGAAAAGCAACCTTGGAGGAGGAGGAGCCTTTGGATACAGAACCTACTGGATTAGGCAGCTGGGAGCCAGCCAACTAGTAGCGTACAAAGCTAGCTACGTTGTCAGCACTGAATGTCAAACAGTGCAGTGACCTCATGTCAGAGCACAAACAAAACATCACTCAGTACAAAAACCCCTGAACACTAAGGGTTTTCTGTCGTCTTGGATGACCATTACAATCAGGGAGGCTTCAGGTCCCTGGGGATCTGCCATATTACAGTGGCTATAAATGGGATTTCTTTTTCTTTTTTCAGCAGCAAGCATCTAAAGTTGAGAAGGTGTTTTTTACCACTGCAGTACCAGTAGCCAGTAGCCCAGGTATGTAATTCCATGTTAGCCTTAAGAGAAGGCAACTCTGTGGGCCCCTTGAGGCACAGCTAATTACTGCTTTGTCCCAGTTTCTAAAACTTTAAAAATCTTTAAACAGCCTCAGTTAAATTCTTCACATTGTATTGTTGGCTAGAGTATTTCATATTCTCACAACTATTAAAAGTTAGTATACTTCTGGCCAAAATACTGTGTTTAACATTCTTTAGTAACAGTTCTTTCTCTTTCAGATACAGCTTTAAAATGTAGCCAGAAAAAAATTTTTGAATCACAGTTAATGCTAAAGAGGGCAGTTGTTAATTCACTGGACTCTTTTCTAATTACAGTAATGAAGAAATAGCATCTGGGTCAGAGACACATAGAGAGCTGAAAGTTCCTTTTATTCAAATTCTTTATTTTATCGATTAAGACACTGGGACCCAGAAAAATTAAATGACTCCCCCAAGGTTATAAGTGAATTTATGGTGGAACCAAAGCACTAGTTGTCAGGCCTCCCAGTTCCCACCCTGTTCTCCTGCTCATTGGCCTTTGTTTTGTTTTGTTTTTGAGACAAGTTCTTGCTGTCACCCAGGCCACAGTGTGGTGGCACGATCACAGCTCACTGCAGCCTGGACCTCCTGGGCTCAGGCAGTCCTCTTGCCTCAGCCCCCCCAAGTAGCTGGGACCATAGGCATGCACCACCATGCCTGGTTAATTTTTCTTTTTCTTTTTTTTTTTTTGAGATGGAGTCACGTTCTGTTGCGGAGGCTGGAGTGCAGTGGCGCAATCCCGGCTCACTGCAACCCCTGCCTCCCAGGTTCAAGTGATTCTCATGCCTCAGCCTCCCAAGTAGCTGGGATTCCAGGCACTCACCACCATGTCCAGCTACTTTTTGTATTTTGAGTAGAGACAAGGATTCACCATGTTGGCCAGGCTGGTCTCGAACTCTTGACCTCAAGTGATCTGCCCACCTTGGCCTCCCAAAGTGCTGGGATTACAGGCGTGAGCCACCAAGCCCGGCCTAATTTTTCTTTATAATGTGTAGAAACAAAGTCTCACTATATTGTTCAGACTGGTCTCAAACACCTGGGCTCAAGAGATCCTCCCTCCTCAGCCTGCCAAAGTACAGGGATTACATACAGGCATGAGCCACTGCACCTGGTCCTTCCCATTGGTCCTTAGCTCTGTCAAGACACACAAAGTCTGGCTGAATATGGAGCAAGTGTTCGCACAACACATGAAAGAGAGATGAGTAAGATGTCCTAAAGGAGCTCAGAGTCTCCTGGGCAGGCAGAACCAAGCAGGTCCTGTACCGCAAGGAGAGAGGTGTGGAAGGAAGATAGCAGCACTGTGCATGTGTGCTGGGAAGCTGGGTACGTGCTTCATCCAAGCTAGCCCTCTGCATAGGCCTACAGAAGTGGGGGAGTGAGCTAGGTCTTGAAAGATGAGTGTCAGTTCTCCAGAAGAGTAGTGTCCAGGGATTTTAGGCATAAGGAAGAGCCCACAGGCCCAGGGATGTAAAGAACGTGTCAGGAACAAGGTAGGCATCCACATGGAGGGTGCAGTGGAGAATGACTGGAAATGAAGCTGGAAATACAGGGTGCATCTAGATTGTGTGTGTGACTTTCTAAGGAAAGGGGACTTTGTCTTCGGCTGGGGAGTGTCCCTCTTTTACCTCAGAGGGCATGTGGTCCAATTTAAAGCAGAACAAACCCCGAAGTGTGGTGACCATCCTTCCCATGGTTCCCATGGCAATCTGCTCTCACCTAGCCCGTGTATCCCTGTCCCTCATGCTCCTGCCTCTGCAGCTACTTGAAGAGCAGTCTCTCTCGCCTCTCTCGCAGGGAGCTCTGTCCAGCAGATTGGCCTCAGTGTTCCTGTGATCATCATCAAACAAGAAGAGGCATGTCAGTGTCAGTGTGCATGCCGGGACTCTGCAAAGGAGCGGGCAACCAGCAGGAGAAAGGGCTGCTCCTCCCCACCCCCTCCAGAGCCGAGCCCTCAGGCTCCTGATGGGCCCAGCCTGCAGCTCCCAGCGCAGACTTTCTCTTCAGCCCCTGTTCCCCAGTCATCATCCTCTACCATACCCTCCTCCTGTGAGCAAAGCCGGCAAGCAGAGACTCCTTCAGACCCTCAGACAGAAACGTTAAGTGCCATGGATGTGTCAGAATTTCTGTCCCTCCAGAGCCTGGACACTCCGTCCAATCTGATTCCCATTGAAGCACTACTGCAGGGGGAGGAGGAGATGGGCCTCACCAGCAGCTTCTCCAAGTGAAGGGCCCGTGTGTGCTCACCTGCGGGAAAAAGTGGGTGAGCAGGAGGCATGAGGTACAATGCCTGCCATCATGGGTCAGAAATTTGAAGGATGAAGAAATCTACTGTTTGAAATCCTCACCTTTCAGACGTATTTTCTTTATTCACATCCCAGGAGCATCCATTTTAAGGAACTAATCTTTGGAAAAAAACAAAAAACAACAAAAAAAGCTAAGTTATAAGTGAACTGTTTGGCTGCACTGTATGTCACTTTTGCTTGTTGTCATGTGAACTTGGAAACTAAGGTTACTCGTGTGCATAAAAATTCTAAATGAAAGGGTGTGGTTTCCATCAATCTGATGCTGCCCATCGCTTGCACTGGGGTCTTTGTGGATTGGGCAGGAGAGTTCAGTGTGTTGGGTGTTGCTCCTTCCTGTGTGTCTTTTGAATCTGAGGCTGACATTTGCTTGGAAGGCCAGACCCTTGCTTCATCAGAGAGGGCAGTGGCAAAGGCCAGTGAGGCAGCTGTGAGTTGGACAGGGTTCAGGTGAGATGGTGTTGTCATTTGTGCTTAGTGTTGGTGGTGCTCAGGGTGGATGACACGGGTCGTTCTGCAGCCCGCTTCAGCACAAATAGGCAGTTTAAGGCCTGGCTCACAGGCTGTGGGGTTGATCTGGCTCTGCAGAGGCCCTAGGCAGCTTGTTGACTGCTGTCTGTCGATGACATGTGCAAAGCAGGTTCTAGCAACATGATCACTGTCTTTGCCTTCCTGGTTCTTTCTCTCAGTTGGTTGCCAGGGCTTGCAGATCGCAGTGAATTTTCCTTGGGGAACATCGCTGTTTTGTCCTAGAGAGAACTTGTGGCTTATGGCCAGTTGCTGTTTGGTGGTCTGCCTTCTTTTTAATGGTATTTTCTTCCTCAGAGCAGAAGGGCCGCATTTTGCTTATCAGAAGAAGGTGCAGATTTAAGGGAATTCGTATGAGGTGGCATATAATTGGCAGGCCAGGTGTCCTGGTTCCAGGTTCCAGCCAGGCTTTGGGTTGCCCCCTCCATCTCTGCCCCCCTCTGGATTTTGCATACAGCCTCATACAGTGCAAACAAGGATGTGACTTGCTCAGCTTAGTCATGTGATTTATTTAAAAAAAAAGAAAAAAAAGAAAAATCACAAAACGATGATCTTCTACTCAGGGTATAGCAAAACAAAAAAATTCCCTTTCCACCAAAAAGCCTGAAATGTTGCAATAAGTTATCTCATTTGGAATGTTTCACTAAGTTGTGTTATAGGAAAAAAATTGTGTGTGTGTGTGTGTATAGAATTATATCCATCTGTCTGCCTTTGGCTCCAAGTCATTGCCTCTTAAAATAAAAGATACAGTCCACACTAGCATGAAGGTTTCTCTCAACAGGCTATATTAACATAGTCATGAGTGCTGACCAAACTCACCAAGCTCAGAGGCCAGGCATGGCCCAAGGTGCAGAATAGGCCTCTGCCTCCCAAGAGCCATTTTCCTGCCCTGAGCAAAGAGTGGTGGTCCACAAACAAGGCTGCTCTTCCAAACTGACAGTGTCAGGCAGGAAGCAGCCATAATTTTGCCTTGCATTTTCATTCCCTAATGTAAAGGGATCTGCATTGGTCACTCTCCTGTTCTCTGAGCCATTGCTCAGGGCCAGCCAAGACATTATTGAGAGCAGATAATTTACCTTGGAGCCAAGGGCCCTCCCTGGCTTTAGCAAGGATGTTCAGGGACAGACAAAGAGGGCAGTGGTGGTGAATGTTGTTACTGCCATGAGGAGAAATGGTCTTACCTACAAGCAGCCAATTTCTCATTCCAGGACTCTAGCCAGAAGAATTGACTTCTTTTTTTTTTTGAGACGGAGTTTCGCTTTTGTTGCCCAGGCTGGAGTGCAGTGGCCCGATCTTGGCTCACCACAACCTCCGCTTCCCAGGTTCAAGCAATTCTGCCTCAGCCTCCCGAGTAGCTGGGATTACAGGCGTGCACCACCACGCCTGACTAATTTTGTATTTTTAGTAGAGACAGGGTTTCTCCATGTTGGTCAGGCTGGTCTCGAACTCCCAACCTCAGGTGATCTGCCCGCCTCGGCCTCCCAAAGTGCTGGGATTACACGTGTGAGCCACCGTGCCTGGTCTAGGGAATTGACTTCTTTTTGACCTTCTGCACTCCCTTCTCCAAAAGGATTGTGGCTTCTGATGACCACTGACCTCAGCAGAAGTTGATAAGGCAGGAGGAATTTCCTGTTAACACAGTGGGTTAGTCCTCCTGGAAAACCAGCTGCTGAGCATGAGTTTTCCTTGGATCTCTCTGGGCCTTGCACCCACAGGAAGCTTTGAGGTAGGGCCCTTGGTGTTTACAACTTCTGAGAGAGTAGTGATGGGACCCCAAAGTAAGCTAGTATCAGAGGGCAGTAATGACCTTCCCATATGCCCATCCTGTGGTCACCTGGGATTTGGATTCCCTGGGAGTGGAGGTGGGAAATAGGAGCCCAGGGAAGGAGATTTGAAGCACCCATGGTTTAAATATCGACTCTTCCTGGCTAGCCAGGGCGTGCTCATGTTGGGGCCTACCCAGGTCAGTGGCCTTTTCACTCTCAAAGATCAGGGGTGACGAAGCAGCATCTTAAACAGTATTTAGGCTGACAGATTTTTCCAGTTGAAGAAGCTGAAGTATCTGCCTTTTGAGGGTGACTTTAGATTACAAGAAAGACTATCAGATCCAATCAGCTTTTGAAAAATCAGGAATGTGCTTAAAATGCCAGTGAGTTGTGAAGATCAGGTTTATTTCCCAGGGTAGGCAGTCTTCCTTTCCCTCCTTTTCCAGTTCTTTTTTCCTACCTGCCCTTCTGTAAGCCTGGTCTCTAGTGCCAAGGACCTTGGAAGAAAGAGGGCCCCTAGCTAAGCTGGAGCCAGAAAGAACCTTCATGGTGAGTGTGGTTTCCCAAACGTGGGAAATGAACCTAGGGTGAGATTAGGGAGGATTTGTAGAATTCTAGCAGGTAAAAATCAAGCCTTTTTCCTCTCCCATAGTAAACTTAACTATTTTCACCCTGTACATTATCTTCTAGTTCCTACTAACATCTCCAATTAGACAACCGCTTCAAAGGGTGCTTAGCACCAGGGATTGGGGTTCATGGACTTAGGAGGTGGTAAGGAAACTGACTGGCACCACCAAACTGCCTTAGTGAACTTGGCCCTTCCCAGGCAGGTAGGTTGGGCATTGAGGGAAAGTGGCCCAGTCTTTCCTGGCAGGGTCTGGCCAGTCTCATGGGAGCACCACTAGTGTGGTGACAGAAGTGGTGTCATTTATTGAATTCCACCTCCGTTTAGAAGGAGATCATGGTACAAAGCCCAGGAGGGGCCTTAAGATGTGAAGATCTCTCTGAGTAAAAGGCAAGGGGCTTCTCTTCTTCACCTCTGGGATAGGTGGTAGATCGGAGAGTTTTATTTTCAGGGTCAAGGCTGTGGACTGATGGGGATATTGGAGGGTGGGTGGGTTTTCCTGAGAGACTTTGTATAATGCTGAATGTGTCCAGAGGGACAAGTTTGCAGAACCTCATATTGGTATATTAAAGAAATAATAAAATAAAAAAGCACTTTAGGTTATTTTATCTTTAACCCGATTGCTGCAATTTCTTTTGTGTGTATATATACATATATATACTTTCCACAAAGTTTATTTTTTGCTCAGAATAAAAAGTTAAATTGAGGTGTGAAAAGAAAAGCACTTACCTTGGTGCAATATGTGTAGCTTGATGGTCGTTGTCCCATGTGGCCCTGGCCTGGCCGCGTTTTTCCGCTCAATCAGCCCTGTGCTATGAGGCTGTCCATAGAGAAACACTATTATGCATTCTCAGCAACCGCTCAATCTATGCAAGCCTTCCCTGTGTGCCCCAGGGCGCCCCCTCAGGCTCTCTGAAGAACTGCTGTGGGTCCTGTTTTCTGCTGACTGTTGAGGCCCTTTTTCATCACTTCTTGGTCTCTCGCCATCTTTTCCCTCTTCACCATTACAAAATGATGCCTGAAAGGAACAGATTGTTCCTAGGTAGAAACCTGGCACCTTCTAGACTTTGATATTTGTAATCACATCCATTGTCCTTAAAGACTTTTCCAGAGTCATTGAAACCATTGATTTGTGGAACTGCAACAGTATTTCTCAAGAGTTTACAATTGTCTTACACCACCAATCAGAAATATGTTTGGGGGGGCATGGGTGGCAGGGGGCAACATGAGCCATTTCCATACTGGTCCCCATACTACCTGTGTTGGTTCCTTAAGCAAAAAGGCCTCCAGCCTTCATTAAATCCTATAAACAAACATTAAATCCCATGAATCATTATCAACTTTCTTCCTTTATTCCACCTCCCCGATTTTATCTTCAATTCTCAGGCTATAGAATAGATGAGTTTTAAAATATACTTCAGCCACCCTTTACTCCATCTCCCCCACTTTATCTTCAATTCTCAAATTCTCAGGCTATAGAATAGGCAAGTTTTAAAATATAATTCAGCCAAAGCAGAAAGATTTTCATAGATCTAATATGCAAATGGTTCTGCTGGGACATAGATCAGAAATTATCTGTTCCTTAATATTTCGGGGTGGAGGCAACAAAACTGGAGCATATTTCTGATTGGTTAGCCATATTAGCCTGTTTCCTCTTGCATGTTTTTTTAGGGAGGGAAGGGGTCCTGTATTTCTTCTCATGCCCTTAGGGGAAGCCAACGACCACTGGGCATTTCTCACTGTTACTCCTGTTCAAGAGAGGGCTTCTCAGTCTGCACTGAAAAATGCAAATTAAACTGGATCTTTATGTCAATGTGTACATAGTACAAGCTTTTCTACTGGAATTGAGGTTCAAAACCACATGCTGCCCTTTTGGTGGTGTGCCTGTTGGGCCAAAATTGGGCGATCACGTAGTGTCCCTTTCTCAGCTCAATGCAGTTTCTACTTTTTCTTATGGGAAAATTTTTCATAAAACCTTTTTGCACCAAAACCCAGGGGTGTTTTTTGCAATATCCTTGTTATCCTCGTAGTGTGCCAAGTCAGAGGCTTCTCTTGCCCTTTTCCTGCTGTGTTCTCAGGCCTCCCAAGGGCTGTTTGACTCGACAGTCTACATCCTTAGTTGTGTTTTGGAGAATGTGAGGGTGGGGGTCAGAGTTCAAAGCGTCTGTTCCCTTTTCCTGTGAACTCTTCCTAGTCCGTTTGGGGAAGGTGGCTGGCAACAGATTGTTGCTTAATCTCTGGCTCAGATCTTCTAGCCAGGAAAGGCAAGAGCCCCCAAGAGCCCTCTTTTTTTTTGACATACACTAATCATTGGCCGGGGTCTTGGTGACAACTTTTAAAATCCCAAATAGTTTTATTTGGATTATGTAAAAGTAAGTGTGAAACATGGGAACAACAGACTTCCACTGAGCGATATGAAAACGTTACAGGTTCAGTACTTCCAAAGGAAGAAACCTCCAAACCCAAAAAAGAATAAATACGAATTTGTATTTTTGAAGAATGTGAAATAATGGTGTTTGCTTAATTGCTCATTTTGTATAAACTTAATATTGTACTTTAAAATATCTGCTAAGAAGTGAAAATTTAACTTTTTGGAATTGAAAAAGCAATATTAAATACTAATGAAATCCTAATTAAATGCTTATTTAAATCTGGTAGTATCTGTGGCATTTCTTCCCAACCCTGTCTATAGTTGACATTTTTCCACCATTCCCCCCTTCCCAGCCATCAGTCTTGGAGAGGGAGGGGACAGAAAGGAAACGTCGGTCACCAGGAGAGTCTGCAGGTTTCCTTTTAATCAAGGCTCTGCTGAAGGTGTTTTGTGGGGCTAAAAGCCCCCAAAGCATGAAATGGACATGTAACATCACCTGGATCCCCCATAGCAGGCCAGACCACTCTGGCGAGCACTGCTGGTCTGCCCAAATCTGGGTAATCAGACTGGGTATTCATTGGCTACATTTCAAAGCACAGCACTGCTTCCAGCCAGGATGAAGTGGGAGTGAACCCAGCTGCTAGCAGAGCTGCCATTCCAGGCTGAGAGCCAGCCAAGTACCAGCCACTGCCAGTGAAGACTGGCCCCTTTACTGAAGGGAGTTGTTCAGAGTCCAGCCATCGGCCCTGGGGAGGGAGAGAAGTCAGGGCATCCGGCTTGGGGATGGTCAGGGCTCCGCAGCTCCATCGCCAGCATCCTTTGGAAAGCCGCCTCTGGTGGCGACAGCCGGCTGCGGGGGCGCTCCGGGTTTGGCTGAGACGTTCTAGTTGGAACAGAAAGGAAAAAAGTGAGGCTGGGAGGAAAGGCCTTGGATTAGGCCCCACAAGGATATGGCCATTTGGCATTTGGATAGTATTAACTTTTTCGAAACCTCTCACCACATCAACGGAGGTTAGGGACAAAGCAGTGGAGAGATACTTCCCCTCTCCAGGGTAAGCTAGGGCTTGGCCAGCCTAGCCAGTGGGCAGACCCCACCCCACCCCGGCCCAGCCCAGGGTGGGCACTAACCCCGCCACCAGCCGGCTCCGGGCGCCGGCGGCCCAGCTGCCGTAACATCTCCTCGCAGGCTGCGATGGTGTCCAGGAGCTGCCGCTGCCGCTGCTCCACCGCGTCCAGCAGCTGCTGGGCGCGCTCCTCCCGGGGCGCCTGCGGGGGTGGCCTCCCGCCGAGCCCCAGCCCCGCCTTCCCGCGGTCCACGCCGGCAGCCTCCCTGCCCGAGCAAGAGACAGACGGTCAGGGCCGGCGCTTGCGCGGGGCCGAGCCCCTTCCCCCCGCCCCGACGGGCCCCCTCTCACCCCCGTGACCAGTCTGAGCCCGGGCCCCATTCCATCTCCGCTTGCGCGGCCCGACCACCGCCCCCCTTTCGGCCGCCCCCCTCCCCAGCGCTGTGTTAGGGCTCCGCAAGGCCGGGCCCCGCCCCGTCCCCACCGGTCTCCTTCAATCCTCCTGGGGGTCGTGGTCCCTTTAAGCTGCCCGGCGCAGAGGTGGGGCCGAGTCTCCCGGACCGGAAGCTGGCTGGGAGCGTCACTTCCTCCCGGAAGCGGGCCTGGGCGGATGTCTCCGGCGCGTCGGTGCAGGGGGATGAGGGCCGCGGTGGCTGCCAGCGTGGGGTTGAGCGAGGGGTCCGCTGGCTCCCGGAGCGGCCGCCTCTTCCGCCCGCCGAGCCCCGCTCCGGCGGCCCCCGGGGCCCGGCTGTTGCGGCTCCCGGGGAGCGGGGCCGTGCAGGCCGCGAGCCCGGAGCGCGCCGGCTGGACCGAGGCGCTGCGGGCCGCCGTGGCCGAGCTGCGCGCCGGCGCCGTGGTGGCCGTCCCCACCGATACGCTATACGGTCTGGCCTGCGCGGCGAGCTGCTCGGCGGCTCTGCGCGCTGTGTACCGCCTCAAGGGTCGCAGCGAGGCTAAGCCTCTGGCCGTATGCCTCGGCCGCGTGGCCGACGTCTACAGGTGAGGCCGCCCCGACCCGGCCCCGCTGGGGGCGGCACCGCGGGAGGGGTTTCCGGTGACAGGCTTGGGAGACTGAGGCGCAGAGAGCGGGAGGGGCTTGTCCAGGCTTACCAAGGAATCCGGAACTGGAAGTGTGTACCGAGGACTTAACGTGCCCCAGGCCCTGAACTACATGCTGCTGAGAGGCAGCAACACACGAGAAAGGCGGGGGCCCTGTACCCTTGGCGCATTTGTACTAATCGGGGAGGCCCCCAGGAAAAAAGGAAAGAAACACAGTAGCTTAATTTAATAGCGAATGCCTTGTAGAAAATAAAACGTGGAGCTTGATCCCACCCACTATCACGGTAGCACAGCGGTGCAGCTGTTGTAGTTCCTCAGACCAGAGGCACATAGGCGCCAAGCCAGGGGTGCCCCTCTGGAGCCCTGCTTTCTGCTCAAGCTCTTAGGGAAGTGAAGCAGGGAGACAGGCGGCTCCCATTGTAAACTTGAAGGATTCCTTTCCTACGTGTGCCTAGAGTCTAGGAAAGGACCACCAGTGGTCCTTCATTTTGAATGGATTTATGCTCCTGTGTTTCCCAGATACTGCCGTGTGAGAGTACCCGAGGGGCTCCTGAAAGACCTACTGCCAGGACCAGTGACCCTGGTGATGGAACGCTCGGAGGAGCTCAACAAGGACCTAAACCCTTTTACGCCTGTGAGTCAAGTTTTCTCTTGTGTTTCCAGACTCCAGGCCACTTGGCTTTCACTAGGATCCAGATCAGACTTACCCTCTACCCCTTCCAACCTTTCTCATGATCCCCTTCCCCCTGCCTTATAGCTTGTAGGCATTCGGATTCCTGATCATGCCTTTATGCAAGACTTGGCTCAGATGTTTGAGGGTCCGCTTGCTCTCACTAGCGCCAACCTCAGCTCCCAGGCCAGTTCTCTGAATGTCGAGGTGAGTTTACCCAGTCCTTCCCCTGGAAATGTCACCAGCCCAAACACTGTTTCCTGTGAATCAGTGGCATTGATAGTGCACTGGGATTGCCAGGCGTGAGAGTCCTTGGGCCAACAGTGGAAAGGTTTCCCAGCTGGCAGGGAGGCGGTGGGGGGCAATATAAATTAAAGGAATTTGATTTTGTCTCAAAGTCTGAAAAGCCAGGGGGAGAATTGGTGTTTTTTTCTTATTGTCTTTATAATAATAGGAAAGATTATGGTAAGAACAGTGTCTTCCTCTTTTTCTGGAGATAACAGTTTTTGGAGAGTACAGTTTAGGCTGTAAATCTTCACGACAGTGCTGTAAAGAAAGATGAAGAAGGCCAAGGGCAGTAGCTTATGCCTGTGACCCCAGAACTTTGGGAGGCCCAGGCAGGCGGATCACCTGAGGTCAGGAGTTCGAGACCAGCCTGGCCCACATGACAAAAGTCCATCTCTAATAAAAAATACAAAAATTAGCCAGACATGGTGGCACATGCCTGTAGTCCAGCTACTCGGGAGGCTGAGGCAGGAGAATCACTTGAACCTGGGAGGTGGAGGTTACAGTGAACTGAGATTGTGCCATTGTACTCCAGCCAGGGCTCTAGAGAAAGACTCTGTCTCTTAAAAAAAAGGATGAAGTTTAGCTTCCAAAAAGTTAAATCACTTTTTCCAGGTCACGTAGCCATTAAGTGACTGGCTCAGATTTTTACCCAATTTTTGACTTTTTTTTTTTTTTTTTTTTTTTTTTGAGACAGAGTCTCGCTCTGTCGCCCAGGCTGGAGTGCAGTGGCCGGATCTCAGCTCACTGCAAGCTCCGCCTCCCGGGTTCACGCCATTCTCCTGCCTCAGCCTCCCGAGTAGCTGGGACTGCAGGCGCCCGCCACCACACCCGGCTGATTTTTTGTATTTTTAGTAGAGACGGGGTTTCACAGTGTTAGCCAGGATGATTTCGATCTCCTGATCTCGTGATCCGCCCGCCTCGGCCTCCCAAAGTGCTGGGATTACAGGCGTGAGCCACCGCGCCTGGCTCCAGTTTTTGACTCTTGCCCCTGTTGTCTTATCTCTGCCACAAACCAGATCAAAGAAAGGATCATCCTAATCCTTTCTTGGCTACATAGATTAGAACAAAGGAGGACACGTAGAAATTTCAGTTCTTTTTCTTATTACCAAGATGTAAAACGTAGTTGTAAGCTACATTGTGTCCCCAGACTCTGGGCCAGAGACATAGTATCACACATAGTATCCAGCATCAGGCCTTGGGCTTCCTTGGGCTTTTTACATCCAGCTAATATGCCTGGATAGAGTAACTTGCGTGCAGTCACACAGAGATAGGATGGAAAGTCCAGAGTTGGAGCTCATATCTCTGCCCAGAACTCCATTCGATGGGGTTTTCCATGCCCAGACCTAGAGTGGGGCTCAGGGTTCTTGGAAAGTGAGAGTTCAGCATCCCTTCCCATTCTCAGAGTGCAGGTTTGACTTGGTCCTGGTGGCTGTACCCCAGGAGCAAGAATCGGGATGTGGCACAGAGAGGGGAGGTTTTTACCTTGTCAGCAGTCATTTGACCTGTCCAACACAGTAACTGGTATTTATGATTTCCTGTCCCAAATTCCCAGGCCTAACTGCTACTGCAGTGTCTTCATTGGAGGGACTGGGGAAGCTCTTTCTCAGTTAACAATTCAGTCCACTGTTCTAGGGGAGTATCCTTCTCATAGCCCAAAGACTGAGTGCTGGTGGCATGCAGAATCTACCATGTTCTATTCTTCATACCTTGATCAGAGTTGCAGTGAGATCCAGGAGCATGGTTCTAGAGCTAGAAGAAGCTGGAATCACTTGCTCCAGGTCACACAGTCATTAAGTGACCAGATTTTTACCTAGTTTTTTTGTTTTGTTTTGTTTGAGACAGAGTCTCACTCTGTTGCCCAGGCTGGCATGCAATGGCACCATCTCGGCTCACTGCAACCTTCACCTCCCAGATTCAAACAGTTCTGCCTCAGCCTCCTGAGTGAGTAGCTGGGATTACAGGCGCATGCCACCACACCCGGCTAATTTTTGTATTTTAGTAGAGACGGGGTTTCATCGTATTGGTCAGGCTGGTCTCAAACTCCTGGCCTCAAGAGATCCAGCCTCTCAAAATGCTGGGATTACAGGTGTGAGCCACCGTGCCCAGCCTTTTTACCTGGTTTTTGACTCTTGACCCTGTTCTCCTATCTCTGCCCCAAGCCAGGGCAAAGAAAAGGTCATGCTAATCCTGTCTTGGCTACATAAATTAGAACAAATGAAGACATAGGATTATCTAGTCCAGCCCACTTGTCTTGTAGGCCTGGATAGAGTAACTTGCGTGCAGTCACACAGAGATACAATGGAAAGTCCAGAGTTAGAGCCCGTATCTGTGCCCAGAACTCCATTCGTTGTACTTACATTTCCTAACTGAAGCAATGTATGACATTTCCTTTTGCCATAATAAGACTTCTTTAAGCCCTAGATAGGTGTTACTTGGGGTGCTAACCCAGGAGGGCTCCAAACCTCATAGAATGCAGTGTCCTTGGCACAGCTGACCTTAACTAAATGAAGCTCCTTTCTCTGCTTGGAGGAAGGTGACTTCTGTTTTGAGACTATATGGCCTTTGATGACTGCGTGCAGTTTAACATTATTGCATACACCAGGGATAGTGTCCATGCTCTTCCTTCTCCTTCTTCTCAGGAGTTCCGGGATCTCTGGCCTCAGTTGTCCTTGGTCATTGATGGGGGACAAATTGGGGGTGGCCAGAGCCCCGAGTGTCGCCTCGGCTCAACTGTGGTTGATTTGTCTGTGCCCGGAAAGTTTGGCATCATTCGTCCAGGCTGGTAAGTCTCATTCCTGTGGCGTGGGGAAATAATTTGAGGGAGGTTGGAGAGATGCAAAAAAGCTTTGACAAGATAAAGATGGTGCCTCCTATCTTGCCCTGAGGGAGTGTGGGCCAGGTTTGGAGAAGTGGTAGTTGGAGTGGGATTAAGTTTGCTGGCTTTCTTAGGATTCAGAAGGTTTCATCATGGATTGATGAACAGGGCATAACAAGGCTAGCCAGTTTCGATGTCCCTGCTCACCAGCTTCTGGTGGGCTTGGGACTTTGAGAAGTCAGACTGGTAACTGTCCTGTTTCCTCCTCAGTGCCCTGGAAAGTACTACAGCCATCCTCCAACAGAAGTATGGCCTGCTTCCCTCACATGCGTCCTACCTGTGAAACTCTGGGAAGCAGGAAGGCCCAAGGCCTGGTGCTGGATACTATGTGTCTGTCCACTGATGACTGGCAAGGCCTCATTTGCAGAGGCCACTGGAGCTAGGGCACCTGACTGTTAAGGCAATGTGTCTTTCTGAGCACTGGGAGCTGCTGGTTTACAGCTCGGGACAGGATGTATTGATTTGTAGTTTCATATATCAGCCAAAAGCTGAATGGAAAAGTTAAGAACATTCCTAGGTGGCCTTATTCTTTTTTTTTTTTTTTTTTTTTTTTTTTTTTTTTTTTTTTTTTGAGAAGGAGTCTTGCTCCGTCACCCAGGCTGGAGTGCAGTGGCTGGATCTCAGCTGACTGCAAGCTCTGCCTCCCAGGTTTACGCCATTCTCCTGCCTCAGCCTCCTGAGTAGCTGGGACTACAGGTTCCTGCCACCTCGCCCGGCTAGTTTTTTTTTGTATTTTTTAGTAGAGACGGGGTTTCACCGTGTTAGCCAGGATGGTCTCGATCTCCTGACCTCGTGATCCGCCCATCTCGGCCTCCCAAAGTGCTGGGATTATAGGCTTGAGCCACCGCGCCTGGCCTAGATGGCCTTATTCTAATAAATTTCTTCTGTCTGTTTTGTTTTTCAGTTGAAAAGTAATTTAAATGACAGATTTAGAATCTAGTGAGAGCCTTCTCTCTGGTGGGTGGTGGCATTTAAGGTTCAAACCAGCTAGAAGTGCTGGTGCTGTTTAAGAAGTCTCAGGTGGCTGCGTGTGGTGGCTTGTGCCTGTAATCCCAACATTCTGGGAGGCCCAGGCGGGAGAACTGCTTGAGCCCAGGAGTTCAGAATCAGCCTGGGCAACATAGGAATACTCCATCTCATAAAAATTAATAAATAAAAAGTCTCAGGTGACCAAAGGCATGGGTTGGGCTCCTGAAGCTAGAACCAGGTTTGGATAAAGATTGAAGAGCCGCAGACCACTCTTCCCTCTGAGCCACTGGGCCTAGTGGTGTCATGTATTGTAATTGCTGGCAGGAAGAGCAGTCTTTTTGGTGTAATAGTGGGATGTCTGCTCAGTTGGCAAGGGTTCAGTCCAAACTGAAGAATACTGGGAAATAAACCTCCACTACCCTTTTCAGCCAGGGACTTTTTCCTTATTTATTCGTAAATTATAGTTAATTATACCCGTAATAGCCTTGTTTAAATCCAGTGTTCTCTGCAGCCTTTTGTCTATTTATATGTGTACCAAGTGTTAAACATAATTACTGTTGGGCATTTGAACTTTGTTTTTCTTTAAAGAAATGCTGCTATTAAACATATTTGTAAATGGTTTATTCTTCTTTTGAATTATTTCCTTAGGGTAGGAGATTAGGTCAAACTGTATGAAGTATTTATGGCTCTCAATATGGATTAGCCTTCAGAAGAACTGAGTCAAGTTACACTGCCATTAGCAATGTGTGAGAATGGCTGCCCCTGCCCCCTAGCCTTGCCATGTTTAGTATTTTTCAAATTGTGCGTGTGTGAAATGAAGCCTGTGTTGCTACCCTCTGTAAATTACCATATGTCAACATCCAACCCTTTCAACTGTCCCTGCCTGCCTTGGTTTCCCCAGCTAAGCCCCAAACCAGGTGGCCAGGCCTGCTCATCTCTCCCGTGGAGTTTAATACCAGTTACCTAACTGGGGCTGGGTGTCCTTGAGGTGACCACTGGGGTCTGTTTCCTCCTTCCTCCGCTTCCCTCTTGCACCCTAGTTCCCAAAATTCCAATTCAGTCTTTTTTTTTTTTTTTTTCTGGAGACAGAATCCCTGTTGCCCAGGCTGGAGTGCAGTGGCACAATCTTGGCTCACTGCAACCTCTGCCTCCCACGTTCAAGTGATTCTCACATCTCAGCCTCCTGAGTAGCTGGGACTACAGGTGTGCACCACCATACCCTACTAATTTTTTTGGTATTTTTAGTAGAGATGGAGTTTTGCCATGTTGGTCAGGCTGTTCTTGAACTCTTGTCCTCAAGTGATCCACCCGCCTTGGCCTCCCAAAGTTCTGGGATTACAGGTGTGAGCCAAGGCACTCGGCCTATTTTTAATTTTTTTAAAGACACGTCTCACTGGGTTGCCCAGGCTGGTCTCGAACTCCTGGACTCAACTGATCCTTCCACCTCAGCCTCCCAGAGTCCTGGGATTACAGGCCTGAGCAACCACGCCCGATTCAGTCTTGAGCCCATAAACTTCTCAGTACAGTGGTTTCCAATGCACCTGTTTTCAAGTATATTCTAAGAATCTTGTGAAGTGTTAACAGGGAGGGGCCTACTTTAATCAGGGTGCCTGCAATTAGCATATTCATTTATTTGTAAATAAGTACTGGTTTGTTAATTCCCTCTAGAAATCTTGTTTAGTAATTTGTTTTCCTTTTTTTGTTTTTTTGTTTTTTTTTTTTTTTTGAGACGGAGTCTCGCCCTGTCGCCCAGGCTGGAGTGTAGTGGCCGGATCTCAGCTCACTGCAAGCTCCGCCTCCCAGGTTCACGCCATTCTCCTGCCTCAGCCTCCCGAGTAGCTGGGACTACAGGCGCCCGCCACCTCGCCCGGCTAGTTTTTTGTATTTTTTTTAGTAGAGACGGGGTTTCACCGTGTTAGCCAGGATGGTCTCGATCTCCCGACCTCGTGATCCGCCCATCTCGGCCTCCCAAAGTGCTGGGATTACAGGCTTGAGCCACCGCGCCCGGCCTGTTTTTTGTTTTTTTTTGAGACAGTCTTGCTCTTGCCCAGGCTGGAGTCCAGTGGTGCCACATTGGCTTACTGCACCCTCCGCCTACCAGGTTCAAGCAGTTCTCCTGCCTCAGTCTCCCAAGTAGCTGGGATTACAGGCACCCAGCACCACACCCAGCTAATTTTGGTGTTTTTAGTAGGGCCGGGGTTTCACCATGTTGGCCAGGCTGGTCTCGAACTCCTGACCTCAGGTGATCCACCCGCCTCAGCCTCCCAAAGTGCTGGGATTACAGGCATGAGCCACCGTGCCCGGCTTTGTTAGTAATTTCTTAAGCAAACCTACTTGTGGTAAAGCCATAGCCAGCCCAACTCATATGTCAGTTTGTCCCAGAATCTAAGGTCAGAATTTGTGAGGTCTTAAAGAGAGCAAAAGGAATGCTTACTTGAGAATACCAGTTCATATTTAATTACTACAAATCACAGTAGCACTGAACATGGCTCTAGTGAGTGGGCCTCAGTCAGTTCAGGCAGCTAAAGGGAGGGGGTTTCCTCCTAGTCCTCTCCCTGGAGCTAAATATGCATCTGGGGAGAAATGAGGCTCTGGAGCACAGAGGTATTTTTTTAGAGGAGAAAGAACTGAATGCCCAGCACTAGGTAAAACTGCAAAAAGAAAAACAACTGTGCCCAGGCACTAGCTACAAGGCCACACCAGATAAGGAAAGCTGGGTCCTGGAAGCTTCAGGACAGGAACTCTTCCTTGGTCAAGTTTTCCCCAGCACCTAGCACATAGGAAGGTGCTTGATGAGTGAGTGTTACATGAACCTGTGAGTGCTCAGGATGATTTCCTGATAATTGGGTTCAGGAATCTACTGGGAGGAGCTTAAACCTAGAAGTTCCCTTTTTGAAAGTCTCAAATAGGGTTCCCTAACTTAGAGAAAACAGATGATGTGAGAAGGAGGCCTGAGGAGAGGACGCAGACTGGCAGAAGGGAGCAGGGCACATGCGAGCCCAGACCCTGACACCCTTCCAAGGGTGGTGAGTGGGTGGCCACTACACAGCACCAGCCTGCTGCAGAGTTCAAAATTAGAAGGGGTTACATGAAAGTGTTCCCAGAACGTGGAGCTGCCCTGGGCTAAGTTCAGTCACCTGCCAGCCTCTGCCATTCCCATCACCGCAGAGCACCCCAGCACCACTCGCCTGAGGAATGGTCTCTGTGCTGCACAGGCCCAGGCCTGACAGCCCACCCAGAAGCACCTAGCTGCTGACCTCTGACCTGGGAATGAGTGAGTGCCTACAACCTCAGCTGAACCCCACGTGGTGACATCTTCCAGCAAGGCAAGGACATCAGCTCCTCACGCCCCTGTTTACAGGCCCCTCACATGAGCCACTGCTCCTTCTCTTTGATGAAGTGCTCTGCCCAGCGGCGGGTCAGCTCCAGGTACAGGCTGGGCTGGTGAGGCAGGTAGTCCAGATACAGGCGGGTGGGTGTCTTCTTGGGAATGGCCTTCTCAATCTGGGTGCCCTCGTGCCACTCATTGAAGGAGGTGATGGAGACGATCTCGGGCCTCACCGTCAGGGCCGCCTGCAGGGCCGTCTCATAGTACTTGCCGTTGACCCTGTTGCGCGTATTGTGGTTGTTCCAGGGCCGAATGCTGGTGTCTATGTAGCCAGGCCCCACACTGGGGATGAACATGAGGTTGTTGGCATCACAAAAGTTCTTCACAGCTTTCCAGTTCTGATGGGAAGAACCAAAGGAGAAACCATTGGAGGCAAAGTAGGTGTACATGCCGTCAAATCCGGCGGCCAGGATGTCGTGGGTGTGACCCTCCTCCACCAGCAGCGCTATGAAGACCCCATCATAGGGCGTGTTGCGGATCGAGTGGGGCCCGTTTGGTGTCAGGAGGTGGGCCCAGGCCTCAGGGGACGTCAGGTATGAGTCGTAGATATAAAAGAGTGGGAGGCTCTTCCCCATGCTGTTCTTATAGCGGTAAAATGCACCATGGGAGCCATACCTGAGAAAGAGAAAGAAGAGCCTCAGCTGGATGGGAGAGACCAGCACAACTGTAGGACCTGCCGTGGATGAGATCTGGATGCCACACAGCCCAGTTTTGGAGCCAGTCAGTCTCCACAGTTGGACTCATCATGCCTCTAAGCAAGAACCTCGTTCCCTTCCCTCTCCCCAGTTGTCATTCCTAAGCCTCACTTCTCTACCCTTAGCCAAGCCACTACCATCTTTCATCTGGATTGTAACAACTGGTCTCCAGGCTTCCATCCTGCCTCCGTAAAATCCATTCATTATTCCCACCTACTTGATCTGGCCCTGCCTACCCCATTCCTCCTCTTTACCCACCTAATACTCCCCATCTGGCCTTTCTATCCGGCTGTCACGTGTCATGCAAGCTTGTTTCATCTTATGGGCCTTGCATCTGCCAGCCCTCTGCTTGGAATTTTCTCCCTGCCTCCGGATCTTTGCAGAGCTGACCCTTTTTCTTTTTTCTTCTTACTACTTTTTTTTTTTTTTTTTTTTGAGACAGAGTCTTGCTCTGTTGCTCAGAGCTGGAGTGCAGTAGATGATCTCAGCTCTCTGCAACCTCCACCTCCTGGGGTTCAAGCGATTCACCTGCCTCAGCCTCTCAAGTAACTGGAATTACAGGCACCCGCCACCACACCTGGCTAATTTTTGTATTTTTAACAGAGATGGTGTTTCACCATGTTGGCCAGGATGGTCTTGAACTCCTGACCTCGGGCAATCCACCCGCCTCAGCCTCCCAAAGTGTTGGGATTACAGGCATGAGCCACCGCGCCTGGCCTTTTTTTTTTTTTTTTTTTTTTTTTAAATATTCTTAAGACAGAGTCTCACTGTATCGCCCAGGCTGGAGTACAGTGGTGCCATCATAGCTCACTGCAACCTCAAACTCCTGGGCTCAAGTGATCCACTCACCTCAGCCCCCCCAAATAGCTGGGACCACAAGCATGCATCACCATGCCCAGCTAATTTTTTAAAAAAGATTTTGTAGAGATGGGAGTCTCCCCATGTTGCCCAAGCTGGTCTCAAACTCCTGACCTCAAGTGATAACTCCCACCTCAGCCTCCCAAAGTGCTGGGATTACAGGTGTGAGCCACCACACCCAGCCCTGACTGCTCATTCAGGTGTTAGCTCACCTGTTGTCTCTTCAGACTCACCTGACCTGACTACCCATTCTTATGTAGTTTCTTGGGCATACTCTAGCACAAAATCCTGTATAGATCAGTTTGATTTTTCTCATTTAATTACTGTCTGCTCCACAATACCTGCAACATACACTAGAAAGTAAACATGAAATTAGAAACTTTGCTAGTCCTACCCATTACTGTACAGCTGGGCTTAAGACAATGCCTGGACACATGTAGGCGCTCAATACTCTTTTTTTTAAGAGACAGAGTCTTGCTTTGTTCTCAGCTGGAATGCAGTGGTATAATCGTGGCTCACTGTAACCTTGAACTTCTGGGCTCAAGTGATCCTCCCACCTCTGCCTTCCAAGTACCTAGGACTACTACAGGCATGCATTGCTATGCCCAGCTAATTTTTTTTTCAGTAGAGATGGGGTCTTGCTTTGTTGCCTAGGCTGGTCTCAAACTCCTGGCCTCAAGCAATCAATCCTCCCACCTCTGCCTCCCAAAGCCCTGGGAGGCCGGGTGCGATGGTTCACACCTGTAATCCCAACACTTTGGGAGGTTGAGGTGGGCAGATCATCTGAGGTCAGGAGTTCAAGATCAGCCTGGCCAACATGGTGAAACCCCAGGCTGGAGTAAAGTGGTGCCATCATAGTTCACTGCAACCTCAAACTCCTGAGCTCAAGTGATCCACTCACCTCAGCTCCCCCAAGTAGCTGGGACCATAGGTGTGCATCACCACACCCAGGTAAAGATACAAAAATACAAAAGTTAGCTGGGCGTGGTGGCGGGCACCTGTAATCCCAGCTACTCGGGAGGCTGAGGCAGGAGAATCACTTGAACCCGGGAGGCAGAGGTTGCAGTGAGCCAAGATTGTGCCACTGCACTCCAGCCTGAGCAACAGTGAGATTCTGTCTCAAAAAAAGAAAGGAAAAAAAAAATAAAAAAGCACTGTCATTACAGGCATGAGCCACCACACCCAGCCTCATTCAATACTTATTTATTTATTTTTGAGACTCAGTCTTGCTCTGTCACCCAGGCTGGAGTGCAGTGGTGTGATCTTGGCTCACTGCAACCTCTGCCCCCCGGATTCAAGTGATTTTCCTGCCTCAGCCTCCTGACTAGCTGGGATTACAGGTGTGCACCACCATGCCTGGCTAATTTTTTTATTTTTAGTAGAGACGGGGTTTCACCATGTTAGTCAGGCTGGTCTCAAACTCCTGACCTCGTGATCTACCTGCCTCAGCCTCCCAAAGTGCTGGGATTACAGGCATGAGCCACCGCGCCTGGCCTTCATTCAATACTTTTTGAATGAATAAATGAGGTGCCTACATTGTAGAAGTCACTTTCACATATATTAACTCGTGTGATTCTCACAAGACTCCAAGGTTACGAGGCTTGCCTCATCACAGATTAGAAGCCACAGAACAGGAATTGAAACCCAGGCTGCCTGACTTTAGGCCCAGTACTCTCCTACTATAAAACAGCTGCTGGGAACACAGACATTATGCCCTGTGTCTCTTGACCTGCCCCTCCAAACCTATCCCTACCTCCATTTTGATCCCCACCGAAATCCCAGCCCCCAGAACAGCCTTACGTGTCAATGATGTACTTGATGTTGTCATGTACAGTGATGTCATCCCGGCCCTTGTAGGGTTGGATGTGGAAGGCCACCTGCCACAAACAGAGGAGTAACTGGTCAGGTGAGTGTCTATCCAGGGGCCACAACATATCAGGCTCAGGATCTAACCATGGCCTGGAGGAGAGGCTGAGTTCAAAAGAGTGCCTGGCTGGTGGGCACAGTAGAGATAAAGGCAGCTGCTGTCCTTAGAGGCCAAAGCAGGGCTGAGCAGTTTGCCCATCTCCCGCAGCATGGCATGTGGGAAGCATTTTGGTGGCTAATAGGTTTCAACCAAGTGGTTGGTGCTAGCTGCCTGAAACAGTGGAAGAAGTATGCTGAAGCTGTGTCGGTGGGAAACTGCTGTGATCTGTTAGACATGTCAGTGGTGGAATTCCCCTCAGGAATGGGGAGTGGGGCTTTTCTTCCTTCTCTGTCATTTTTCTTCCTTCACCACAGAAGCAAGGGATGACTTACTCGATTGGCACATGTAGGGAAATGCTTCGTCCAGCTCCATCCTTCCTCTTGAAAGTGAGCCCACCTGCTGAGAACACCTGTCTACTCCTCAAGGTCCAGCACTGCCTCCCACTAGAGAGTTGAGTCTGCAGGTCCCTTTGGCTCTTGCCTACCCTTTATCCACCAGGGTTTACAACCTAACCTCTATTACCATTTAACAAAAGTGATAATTATTTAGTCTTCTCTTGGTCCTATATTTAGTTTTCTCAGTTTTCTTAGAATTCAAAACACTAAGAGCAACATAGGCACCATTTACCTGAACCCTCCCCCAAAACTACACTTGCCACATATTTGTTATCCCTGGGCTACTGCCAAGAACTTCTGTGGAGGCACTAACCCTGTGGGCGGAGGAGAGCACCTCTCCAGAATAGGGCAGAGAGCACGTGGGCTCTTATTGGAGACTCACCTGGATGCTGTACTGATGGGCGGTGTCCAGAATGGCGGGCACCAGGTCATCCGAGGGCTCTCCGTTATCATCAGCCATGCCAGGTGGGTACCAGGACAGGACCAGGACGCCTGAGACGCAATACAGAGGCGACTTCAGAGACACACAGTACCCCCCTCAACAGAGATTTTTTTTCTCACAAACCTTCAGTTGCAAAAATGGTTTCTAAAAAACTGCAGCAAGCTTCCTGCCAGGTTCACTTCCGGCAGATGAGTCCCAGAGCCTCGCGCCCCGGAGCTGTCCACGCCCGCGGTGCTGAAGCGCAGTGCCTGCGGGAACCGTAGCGCGCCAGGCCGGAAGGGAGCCAGGCTTTCGAGTGCATCAGCAAGTAGTAGAACAAAGGGAATGGGTGGACAGTGCCACACCCACCTGGAAGCCACAGGCTTACCTCTGAAAAAGAGAAGCCCCCTAACCCCTAACATGCCACATGGAGAAGAGCCCTGAGCAGAGGGCATCTGTAAAACCAGCAGAATTCAGTGATGATATCCGAAATAAGTGAGCCTTCCCTCCCCAGCCTACAAAGGAGGCGCCCAGGGACCTTCCCTCTAGCTGGGTGCTTGATGAAAAGCCTCTAAACCCCCAACACTACCCCCAACTGCAAATACAGCAGAGGCCTTCATGGAACACGGGCACACTTTCCTCTCTGCAGCCAGTAAAAGCAGGAAGGGCTGCTGCTCTACCCTGTACCTGCCGTGAAAGCAGAGGCGACCGTAGGTTCCACTCCTCTGAACCCCAGATCCTGCGGGCCAGGACTCCAGGCCTCACTTCCCATTGCCCAACAAATTTGAAGACTCTGCCTCCCTCTCCTGGTGCAAACTCCCAGCAGGTCCGCCCTATGGAAGGGCCCTGGATGTTAGGGGTCGAAGGGCCCAGGTAGGGGGTCTGAATACTAGACGGAGGGGGCGGTGTCGCATGGTGGGCCCAGGATGAGAGTGGGAGGGAACAGCTAAGAAGCCAGGCTGGCGGGTAAGTGGGACCAAACGCCCGGTGACAGGACCAGAGGGAGCTGGGATGTGGGAAGGAGGAAGGGCGAGGCTGGGGGGCAGGGTCGCCCGGGGTGGGGGGCGCTCACCGATGGCGGCTTCCTTGAGCTGGGTCATGTGCTCCCGCAGCACTTCGGGGTCCCGGGAGCTGTAGGGCCCCAGCTCCGGGTAGAAGCTGGATCCCAAGTCGTCTGGGGGGCTGTGGCGGCCGCGGGGGTAGCTGGCCGAGATCTTGGGGTCCCAGTGCGGCACCATGACGTGGTCCCAGTGAATGTAGTGGCCCTCGCGCCGCGGGCTCCCGTACCACGAGTAGTAGAAGGCGTGCAGGTCCGAGTAGACGCTCAGGCTCTGCCCGGGGGCGGGCTCGGCCTCCGCGGGTGCCGGCCTAGGGGAGCCGCCAGGGTCCGCGGTGCGGGGCGGCGGCGGCGGCGGGGGCGGCGCGGCAGGGGCTGCCGGGGCCCGGGCAGCGGGCGCTGGGGCCGCCTCCGGGCGTCGCTCAAAGGGCGCCAGCTCCAGGCCCGGGCCCAGCGCCGGGAGTCCGTCCGGAGCCTTGAGCGTGCGCAGGCCCATGAGGGTGCCGAAGGCGAAGAGCAGCACCAGGAACAGAGCTATGCAGGCGCGGCGCCGCCGCCGGGCCATGGCCGACCGTGCGCTCCTGCGGCCGCCCCGCTACCTCCCCGCGCGCCGCGCCATGGCCGCCTGCCCGCCCGCCCGCACGCTTCCTTGGGAGACTGTGCGCCCGGCAGAGCGCGGCGTGGGCGGCGCCCGGCCTGTCCCCGCAGTGCGGGCGGGCTCGGCACACAGGACGCAGGCGGCGCGGACCAAGTGGCCGCAAGCCGAGGGGGAACTGGACGCCGAGGGCGACGCAAGGCCCAGCGAACGGCGAGTTTCGGGCCACAGGAGCAGGGACCTGAGACAGGCCGCGTGGCCCGCGGAGGAAGAGTCCTTCCTATACAAAGCCAGTTCCCCTCAAGCCTGGCTGCCTGGGCGGCGGGTGGCGGCGCCTCGCTGGGGAGCGGGGACGCCGGCCTTCCGGAGCGCCGGAGAGGGGCGGTGCGGCGGCAGCGCTGGGGCGGCGGGGGCGGGGGCGGGGAGGAGAGGAAGCGCGCGTTGGTGGTCCGCTCCCCAAGGATTTCCTTCTCTGTCGATCCCTCTTTACTCACTTCACTGGCCCCCTCCCTATGGGTCTCAGTGCCACCCTTCTAGCCCCACGTACCCCATCCCTCGGCCCCCCTCCCCGGCACCCCAGGCAGCCCCTGAATCTCGGTGGAAGGGGCGTCGAGAAATCTCGAGGAGTCGGACCCTACAGTCGCCGGCCGGGGGCGGAGGGCAACCGTGACTCGGGCAAGGTCACACTGACTGGGCCTGGACCCCGGGTCAGGACGCACTCTCCAGAGCTCGCACTCTCCAAAGCACTTCCACGCGATCTGAAAAGCAATTACTCAGTACATTTGTGTCTTTCTTCCTGGATTCTGGGCTCCAGAGGACAGGCCCCGTCTTATTTACCTTGTTAGACGCCAAGGGCTGCCAGGACAGGATCTGACACTCGCTTCCTAGTGCCGTTTGAGTGAGTACCAGCCCCTGGTGTGATAGTCTGTAGATAAAAGCTTTTCACTGGATATTGCTAGAGTTCCTACACTGCGTTATTCATTACTTCATTTATTCAGAAGATAGTTTTGTTTATCATATGCCTCCTTCAGTGATCCCCAATGACAGCAACTTTGTTTCATTGCATGTCTAAAACAGTGCTTAGGATGATGGCGGGCATCCAGTTCTTATTGGTTACGTAAAATGAATTATAGGGAACCCAGGAAGAGAAGCAGCAAGGTTGGGAAGTGTTGGTACACCTGCAGCCCAGGAAAGTGAGCTTGAGAGACCTTATGGTGCTAAGTGTGAATGAAGTGGAATGCCTTCAGCTCCAGGTTGCAGATTCCCGATTCAGCCTGGCTTCAGGAATATGCCAATGTATCAACTTGCAAAGCAAGAAGCCCAATGGCAGGACAGAGTGGGTATATTCTCTGATCTAACAATGTCATCAGTGAGATGTTCCCGTCTCACTCTTCTACTCTCCCCACCACTGACTTCATATACAAAGCCTGTTCCCCTCATGCCACAAAGTGGCTGCTATGGCCATTGACTCCTCCTCCCATTCCACAGGCAAGGGTAAGACTGATTTCTCTCTCCCAGAAGTCCTAAACAAACATCTCATTGAATCTCATTGATCTAATCTGGTTTAAGCCTTTTTATGCCAGACAAATTGTTGCCGAGGGGAATAGAATTACCTTGACTAGATTAGATTACATTTGTGGAGTGGGTTAAATGTTGGAGAGAATACCATGTCTACCAAAGAATGAGGTGACTCTGGGAATAGAAAGACTGAGAAGAGGCCGGGTGTGGTGGCTCACGCCTGCAATCCCAGCACTTTGAGAGGCTGAGGCGGGTGGATTGCCTGAGCTCAGGAGTTTGCGACCAGCCTGGGCAACACGGTGAAACCCTGTCTCTACTAAAATACAAAAAATTAGCCAGGTGAGGTGGCGGGCTCCTGTAGTCCCAGCTACTTGGGAGGCTGAGGCAGGAGAATTGCTTGAACCTGGGAGGCAGAGGTTGCAGTGAGCTGAGATCACACCACTGCGCTCCAGCCTGGATGGCAGAGTGAGACTCCGTTTCAAAAAAAGAAAGGAGAGAGAGAGAGAGAGAGAAAGAAAAGAAAACGGGTAAGGATGGAACTCTCGGAAGGAAGGAAGGAAGGAAGGAAGGAAGGAAGGAAGGAAGGAAGGAAGGAAAGAAAGAGAAAGAGAAAGAAAGAAAGAAGAAAAGAGAAAGGAAGGAAGGAAAGGGAGAAGAGAGGAGAGAACAAAAAAGAGAAGAAAACGGGTAAGGATGGAACTCTCAGAAAGAAAGAAAGAGAGAGAGAGAAAGAAAGAAAGAAAGAAAGAGAAAGAAAGAAAAGAAAGGAAGGAAGGAAGGAGAGAAGAGAGGAGAGAAGAGAAGAGAAGAAAACGGGTAAGGATGGAACTCTCAGAAAGAAAGAGAAAAGAAAAGAAAAGAAAGAAGGAAGGAAGGAGAGAAGAGAAGAGAAGAGAGAAGAGAAGAAAAGAAAACGGGTAAGGATGGAACTCTCAGTAACACCAGCATTTCTGGGACAGGCAGAGGAAGGAGAGAGTCTAAGAAGGAAACAGAAGGAATCATTAACTAGGAACTAAAAGAACAGGGAATGGGTGGTGGTCGTTTTGGAAAACTAGTGGGAAGGTTTCCCCAGCTCCCAGTCATCCCACTATTTCTGGGATGCCCTGAAACAGTTGTTTCCCCTGTTGGCTATGCCTGGAGTCCCTGACACTGCCACCTGGCCATGATGGTTTGACCCAGGCCTAGAACTCTGACCTGGTGGTCAGAGTTGGACCAGTGATAGCATCCCGTCTTCCATTGGACCAATCATGAATACTGACCCAAAGGGCATCAATTCCAATCATTTTTTGGGATTTTACTCTCTGGTCTGGAGGAGAGATTTTATTGTCTTTAAAGATAATGCCATTTGCCGGGTGTGGTGGCTCATGCCTGTAATCGCAGCACTTTGGGAGGCTGAGGTGGGAGGATGACTTGAGTTCAGGCATTTGAGATCAACCTGGGTAACATAGTGAGACCTCATCTCTACAAAAAATTAAAATACATTAGTCTGCCATGGTGGCATACGCCTGTACTCCCAACTACTCGGGAGGTTGAGGTGGGAGGATCACTTGAGCCTGAGAGGTCAAGGCTACAGCGAGCCGTGATGACACCACTGCACCCCAGCCTGGGTGACCAAGTGAGACCCTTTCTCAAAAACAAACAAACAAACAAACAAGATAATGCCATTAGAGGGAGGGGACAGAGAGAAACTTAGTGGTATTGGAGTCCTGATTTCAGTTTTCCCGGCAGTCTAGTTGCAGTGTGAAACCCGGACCATTCTTCCAATAAGTTACCCTTTTATTCTGAGCAAGGTGAGCTGATGGAGCTGACTATTGATTGCCTATCAATCTCTGACAAGACCAAGAAGGGGACTTGGGAGCAGGAGGTCATTTGGGAGATAATCTCAGGAAGTAAGAGTTAGGAAGTGAACAGAATGAGACAAGAACAAAAGAAAAGCCAAACCAATGGTGCACTGAGGATGTCGCTGCTATAGATAATGGGGCCTTAATTCTGCCAGGTCGTTTCAGAAGTGTACAAATGCCTCTCAGAGTTAGGAGGTGTGAGGCTGAAGCAATTATCTACTGACCCCCTCCTCCACTGGTCAAGCATTTTCCCTAGGGGAGTTAACTTCCTTGTATTTCTGGTCTCCTGTTGCCAAGCAGACTCCCAGGACATCAGAGAAGGTTTTGAAGCAGGTATAAAGAGAGACAGACATTATTTATTCAAGTGGGATGCCGCCAGTGCGAGGAAGACTAAGCTTGCACAGAACCATCCATCCTAGATGTACTCATTTTCTAAGCTGTCGTAACAAATTACTATACATTTAGTAGTTAAAACAGCACAAAAGTTTACTGTCTCATGATTTCCGTAAGTCAGAAGTCTAGGCACAGTGTGGCTTAGTGAGTTCTCTGGTTGGAATCTCACGAAGCCAAAATTAAGGCGTTGTCAGGTTACACTGCTTTCTAGGCTCTAGGAACGGATCTACATCCAGCTCAATGGCAGAATTCAGTTCCATACAATTGCAGGGCTAAGGCCCCCATTTGCTTGCTGACTGTCATCTGGGGAGTCTTTCTCAGGTTCTAGAGGCCTGCTGCATTTCTTGGCTTGTAGACCCCTTCTTCCATCTTCAAAGCCAGCAACATCAGATCTTGTCCTTCTCACACTTTGGATCTCTCTAACCTCCCTCTCTACCTCTCTCTCCTACCTTCCTCTTCTGGTTTTAAGAGCTCATGTGATATATGAGATGCCGTCAGATAATCCAGGGTAACTTCCCCAGTTAAAGGTTAATTATTGGCCAAGTGTGGTGGTTCATGCCCGTAATCCCAGCACTTTGGGAGGCCGAGATGGGAGGATCACTTGAGCCCAGGGGTTCGAGGCCAGTCTGAGCAATATAGCAAGACCCTGTTGCTACAAAAAAAAAAAAAAAAAAAAAAAAAAAGGCCAGGCACAATGGCTCACACCTGTCCCAGTACTTTAGGAGGCCAAGGTGTGTAGGTTGCTTGAGCCCAGAAGTTAGAGAGCAGCCTGGGTAACATAATGAGACCTCATCTCTAAAACTTTTTTTTAATTAAAAAAATTATAAAATATAAGGTCAACTAATTAGTAAACTTCATTCCATTCCACAAGGTCCCTTCACAACAGTAACTAGATTATTTTTAATTGAGTAGCTAGAGGACAGGAATCTTGGTGGGGGACATCTTAAGAGTTCTGCCTAAAAACTGTTCCTAAAATCAAGGTGGACCAAAGAGATGTGACACACGGCATTCAAGGTGTGTATTACACCCATTCTATCGATTAGAATGTGTGTTCAGCCACAAATAAGAAGGAAAGCAGCTAAACATGGCTTAAAGTGCTTCTCAAACTTTAGTGCGCATGTCAGTCCCCTGAGGATCTTGTTAAAAATATAGATCCTGATTCAGTAGGTCTGGAATGAAACCTGTTTTTTTGTTTTGTTTTGTTTTGTTTGTTTGTTTGTTTTTTGAGACAAGGTCTCACCCTATCACCCAGTCTGGTGTGCAGTGGCGCAGTCACAGCTTACTGCAACCTTCGCCTCCTGGGCTCAAGCAGACTTCCCACCTCAGCCTCCCAAGTAGTTGAGACTGCAGGTGTGCATCACCACACCTGGCTAATTTTTGTTTCTGTTTTTGTTTTTTGGTAGAGATGGGGTTTCGCCATGTTGCCCAGGCTAGTCTCAAATTCCTGGGCTCAAGCAATCCACCTGCCTCAGTATCCTGTAGTGCTGAGATGAGAGCCACTGTGCCTGGCCAAGAGTCTATGTTTCTAACAAGATGCCAGGTGATGCTGATTTGACTGGTCCTTTAGGGCTTAGAGTATA